ATCAAGCAAAAGGTTTTTGGTTTGAATTTCTTTGAGAATAACTTAGCATTTGAGAAGTTATTCGCATCGAACTCTCCACTCGGTGTTTCATCTGATTTCACAAAACTTCGATTGACCTTGTTTTTCTACCCCACTTCTCTCTCGATATCGACTGAAAATGTTGCTTTCTTTTTTGATATTTTACATCAAATCACCTGAAAATACCTACTGCTTTATGTATTGCATATGTTAGGTTCATCTGTAGATTGTTTGTTCCAGTCAAGCATTGAATTTCAGCTATCTTTGGGCAAAAAGTATAGCATAGTATAGTACATTTTAGACAAGATAGGTGTTAATGAGAAAACATTTTGCGGTGAAAGAAAACGGATTACTGGAGAGATGTACTTGTTTTGAAATTTAGAAAGACAAAATGGCATTTGTTAAGTTTGTTTTTAATAGTTCCAAAACAAATTTCCCTTTCATGATTGCAACTGAAAGAAATCTAAAGAACATCAGTGGAAATCAGCTTTTTTGCTTTACATTTTTCAGAAATACCGAATGCAATTAAAATCATTGTTTATGCTGTTGTTTAATAGTTTATTGTCAACAAAGTACACAGTTACAATTGCTCCCTATCGGGATTCACTCAGATCTTCACTCATATTACAAACAACATGGAATATCTTAAATTAATTTTGCTCTTAGGAACAAAACATTTCCATGCTTCAAATATTTAAAGCAAATTTCTTTCAAGACTTAGTCAAATTACCTGACATTTTTAGCTACTGGTAAGAAATGACTACTATAAATTGTCGAAAGCGAGCCTTTCGACTTCATTGGAGATACAGCAGGCTTACGAGACGACGTCGACCTAAGCTAAGAAGCCTGAGCGACGTGGCTATAAGGACGACATTTCAACATGGAAGCAGTGCTGTTCATCGTTTGGCTGGCAGTCTCAATCCTGGTTCTTTCCAGTGACGGATATCTCATCAGAAGAGGGAGAGAAGGTGGGTGTTAATTTCAAACTAAAAACAAACTACTTCTTAATTTCAAGGCAGTTGGGTTGTTTACTTAATATGCCAAGGGAGAAACCTTCCCTAAAAACTCGTCTCGTTAACCCCATTTTCAAAGTACAGTTTGCCAAAAAAACTGTATTTCTCAATCTTTCAGAAAAGAACTAATGTTTACCATTTGCACAGCAATTTGTGATTGAAGAAAACGTACTTGAGCGAGAAATAAAGCATACTTTACGTCATAACATTGTTAAATCGTAATAGCCCACTGAAATTCAGTGAGGCTCGGTAACTTATGTTGTTATGAACAATTAGTACAATTTCAGTACTCTCAAGTACTGTGCCAGCTCATTAGCAGCGCAGAAAAAAGGGTGTGTAGGTTTGTCGTCAAGGCGTTGTACCATACCGTAGCCAAGAACTTTGGTTTTTGGCTCGCACGGAATTGGATTTTCTAACAGACAAATGCCCATTGAATGAGAACGTTTTTAAGAAGAAAATATCTACGAATTAGTACTAGTACAAGTGTACGAACTCTACTGGGTTAACAAATGGAAACGAAGGAACCGTTTTCTTAATAACAAAATGTAAATACCAAGGCTCTGTTGGAGCTTTGTTTCTGTGTAGGTGGTCTTAACTGTACTATTCTGTAAGTTATTTTTGGGAGGAATACTCACTCCTGGATGCTACAAAGAGTAGTGCCGGGTTTTGCAATCATCTTGAACATTTCGAGCGGAGGACTACAATTTAACTTAAGAGATTACAAGTTGCAAACTATAATGAGTAATGACCCTCTATAATATTTTTAAATGACTTATAAGGGGAAATCGTATAAGTGCGATGTGCGATGAACAGTCTCAGCATTTTCAATTCGATGCAAAATAGGTTTCCCTTACAAAATCAGAAGCGCACTATAAATTACTATGATAAATTTGTCAATCAATGTTTCAATAATAGGAGAAACATGGTCATCAATAAAACGTGAGCTCAACATTTTATGCACAATAACGAGAAATCATTTAATCGTTAAGTACGTATTCGATCAGTTAACTTAGATATTGAAATTCAGTACGGGACAATTCATTGCGCTGCCTTTTAGCAGGTAAAATTAAAACGCCTTCGTTTATCAAACGTTCCGGAGAGATTTAATTTTATAAAATTTGACTTCAGGCTACTATCGAGCGTTGTTAAGTAGCAAAAAAATGTAAGAAAAGGATTTTTCAAAGTCTTATTTGTTCAATTTGCTAAACTAGATTTCTCATGTGTATTTGTCTGGTATCCTGTTACATCTTACATGCAATTCCCGAATTCTCTTACTTTTAATAAATAACTACTACAGCCTATTTCTAGTAATTAACTGAAGCACTTAGATCGGATTGCAAGGGCTCCTTATATAATTAAGTCAGGGGCAGGAAACTACTGCTGTAAAAATATCTGTTTCTGCAGGAAGTACATTTTGTCTAGAAATTTCTATAGCTCGAAAAGATAAAAATTTAAAGACTTTTTAATCCATCTCTGAGGATATCTTGAATTTTTCCTCTAATAACTTCCCTAAGATTTAGTTTTCGTAATTTTTACCTTTTCGCCCCGCCGGTTTTTGATTCGAAAGATGGTGAAGGAGAGAGATGGAAAATCTTTCATTTTCGCAAACCATAAAGCGGGACATCCTCGATTTGGGAAAAAAAATCATAAGAAAGCTGTAATGAACTTGAAAATGCTAAAGTTGCTCGAGTCGCATGAACGACGCCTCTCAGAGTTGAGTTGCTCAGTAGGTACCCTTGAACAAGTTTTTAAAGCATTTGGGTGAGAACCGTCGTTAAGTGCCCCTTAAAAGTAAGAGACATTTACCAGATGGCCTCCAACAGTCCCGCGCCCATCCTAACTTAACGGTCAACAGCGATTGACGAAGTAAGGTTTTTGTTACGGTTACCATCTCCAAATTAAAAGTAGGTTTAAATAATATTAAGTACCACCTCTGGTTACTGGTTTTGAGTTAGAGCGCCCAGCGTCGTATTTCGTAGATATAGCTCCCTCGTTCAAATGATTTCTTTGAACTTTCCCCCTTCTTTATATTTCTTTATTTTTCTTAAATACCCTTACAAAGATAAGACCATCCGAATTAGGTGCTACCCAACGACATCTCCAAAGGATTTGGCCCCTGAGGGCTGCCAGTTCCGAAAGTAACGGAGCCGCTTAACCTTCAGAATCCTAAGGTATCATGTTATTTCCTGTTTTTCCATTCATGTCAGTTTTGGTTTTCACCTGAAAATATCTGGCCGAAACAAGAGTAAAGAGGCCATAGAAAAATAATTAGCTGAAAATTTTAATATGTTAAAAGCTTTAGTAAAGTAAAACTTTAATTCCATTGTTCTTCCTCACGGCGCCTTTTGAAAAAATACGTTTTGAATAATTTCAGAAACGATTCTCCGCGAATAAAATAACGCAACTTTTAATTTGTGAAAATATCCTTGCTTCGTCTAATACTTTCAAATCTCTGTAAAAGGTATTGAAATTTATACAAAAGTTATGTAAAAGAATTAACAGAAAACCATAGGGCAGGGTAAATGTTCCAGCCGTTGCGTTTTCTTTAGTTTTTGCTGGTATTTTAAAATCTTACACAGTCATGTTATAGTCTTTTGTAAGTTCCATTTATAAATTAAAGTTATTAATTTTCTCTGTAAAATCATTTTCAGTCATTGGTACATATAGTTTTTGTTTGAAAAACGTGTCTTCCTAACTCTGGGGCGAAGCGAAAAAATTCTAATTTACATTAGTGTCTAGAAATTATTTAAAGCTGACTGATCAATTGAAATTTCAAAGCGTTTCTTTGATTCTTCCGACAATTTTGAACCAGAGCCAAGGCAAAAACAACCAAATGTGTCTAGCAGACATATGACACTTGATTACATGCATCAGGTTATTAAGCCATTATAGCTTAATCGCCCCAATATATTGGAAAACGTCTCTTGTCATCTGACTTAGGGGTCATGTTTTTCTTTCATCAGTACCCCAAACTGCAATACAAAGCTAGAATTTCAAGCCGTGATTCCTGCATGTCTTAAATACCAGTACCTAGTCTTAAAGCTGCGAACAGCTGAGGGAAAATCAGTCAGACTAGCCAGCAAGGATAGCCGCACAGTGATCGAAGTCAGAGAAGAATCGTTTTCCATTAAGCTATGACGGAGTTTTCCTTGCTTCGCTTCGTGGTTGTGCTTATTTTAGCTTTCCTACCTAATGCTTTCTGTGCCCCTAAACAAAATCCACAGAAAACCGAAGTCAGTGGTAAGTTCATGCTTTGTATTTTTCCTGTGTAAATCAGTTGCTAACTTTTATAAAAGTGCTTTTTTCACACCAAAAGGCACAAAAAGTTGTAAACTAAAATTGTTTTTAATAGTTGTTTCCTAGATTGAAAAGTTCTAACTGAGCAAACTATAACTTGAAACTATAACTTTGTCCTCGGTAAAACCACCGAAAATGTTTCAAAATGTTCCTATGATCGTAAGACTACTGAGTTTTTTATCGGTTTCCTCATTATGAAACACTGCAATGACTAGGACAGCAACATTATGTCGAAAGGAAAAAGAGCAACGAAATCTATTCAAGTTTTCTTGCTTCTCGGTATATTTTTGCAGGATTTGAATAGACTTGTATCTCATGATCTCGAAAAGACCGCGCTGGGACTTGGTACTCAAAACTTTGATTTGGCAGCACTCGCTCAACTTGCAATTTTCGTTAAAAGAGAGGAAAATAAAGTCGATTGCATCGACCAGTGCTTGACTTCTGACGTGCTTTCTCTTGTCAGACATCTCATTGTCGATTGCTTTGTTCAAGATTGCTTACCGTCTGTATTTGGAAATCATGGCTGGACAAAATATGAAGAAAAAATCGAAACTTGCAATATTGATCTCTTTTTCCCGCTGTGCACTATGTCCATCTGGATCATGTGTTCTGGATCATTTAAAAGTATAAATTGTAATTTAGCAAGCAACTTTTATTTGCTTTCGCCACTTTGCCTCTTATTTGTTGCCGTTTAATTGACAATCTAGTCAGAGAAAATTCCCTCCCTTGGAACTGATTTTGTCTCTAGAAGGTTCTGGAAAGAAACATTATATGAATCAATGTATACTTTCGTAATTTGACCAGTCTTTGGCTAATTCGGGTCACTTTTACGGGCTTTGAATGCAAACAGTATACTCAACAAGTGAAATTTGCAAGGATGACAAATGTGCGGAAATCTAGATTTAAATATTTCTTCTTCCCATTGCCTTGCCAAAACCTCAGGACAAGATGTTTATTCTCAGACAAAAGTAAATGGTCCTAGTTGTTGTACATCTTTTTTGGCAACAACATATGACACGCAGAGTTTTCTTCTAAATAGTACCAGTGAAAAAGTTAACTAACTATTAACCTCAGGACAAGATGTTTATTCTCAGACAAAAGTAAATGGTCCTAGTTGTTGTACATCTTTTTTGGCAACAACATATGACACGCAGAGTTTTCTTCTAAATAGTACCAGTGAAAAAGTTAACTAACTATGACTAAGGGATTTAAAAAAAGAGGACGCCCATCTGGGGTAAATTGACCGCTTAAATTGTTTGCGTTTTCAAAGAGATTGAAAACGTTCGAAATATAGCCGATGCTCATGATACTTATCCCTGGGTAATACGAATCATATATCGCTGCGGAAAGATTGAGTTTTCGTTGGAACTCTCTAATTGCTTTTCAATTTTTCAAATTTTTCTTTTATTAATTTATCAAATATCAATCATTTCTTCATTTTTCAGGTTCGTGATTGCGAAGTTTATATACTATACTGAAGTGAATAAACTTACCCTCTTCTTCTTCTTCTTCTTCTTCTTCTTCTTCTTCTTCTTCTTCGCGCGCATGAGTACGGCAGTAAAAACCGCGCGGGTCAGAGAACCTGCATTTCCCGAACATTTAGCCGGGTTCTTACATAATTTAGTAATAGCACAATTTTAGGTTATTGGTTCTTATTTTCTGAAAAAATACGTTGTAGCTAAGAGTATTTGGTGGTATTCAGCTTAATCCTCATTTAAAATCTGCACAACATTACATTGTAGTTAGAGTAATAAGGCACCTATATGTCTCAGATTCTTGTGTAGAGTGCACCTAACTAGCAAATTTTACCCTAACCGGGTTCTTAAATACCAGGTGCCTAGTCACGAGTTTTTACTGTATTGACTTAATGTTACTTTTGAAGATGTCAATAATAACTCCACCAAACCTGATTTTTACAATGGCCTCATCACTGAACGACATGAAAAAGAAGAATAAAGGCATACAGGGCATGGAGTGGCGAAACAGCATTTTCAAAACTACGGACTAGATTTACCGCCGACATTCTTTTAAGACTTGTCTCTTAACGGTCATCTCTGTAAGACGGATACCTCTGTAAAACGCACACCTAGAGCTGGTCCCTAACTTTCTTTACTCCCTTTATTTGACTTTCTAGAAGACCGACATCTCTCCAAGACGATGCCTAGCGCCAGTTCCAAAGGTGTCTGTCTTAGAGAGATTTGACTGTTATGCAAATACGTTTTGTGTCTTTATTTCAAAGGAATTTAGCTTACCAATCAATAGCCAATCGTTTCTCATTCTACAATTTAATAGGTAACTGTAACTTCGATTCCTCTACATTCTGTAACTGGCATCAAGTTGGTGAGCCGGATGACAAATTTGACTGGTCGTTAGATCGAGATTCTACGCCAAGTTCTGGCACAGGTCCAATCAAGGATGTCTCTGAAAAAGGTAAGGTGTCTTCCTGTTCAACAAGTTCACTCTGTAGCATGTCCGTCTGTAAAACAAATACATTCCCTTTTTTTAAAAAATCTATTCAGTTTAGATCACAGGTGACCGGCTGGTCAGAATTAGTGATAACAGACGGTGATAACATTTTATTTTATTCTTTTAGGTTACTATGCCTATATCGAATCCTCCGCTCCTCGCAGACGCGGGGACAAAGCTCGGTTAATGACTGGTCCACTCAAAGGGGTGTACTGTCTTCGATTCGCATACAACATGTATGGCAGGACCATAGGACAGCTAAACATTTACCAGGTTTTACATGGCAGCGAGTTAAATATTTGGTGGAGAAAAGGGCAACAAACCAGTGCAAGACAATGGAAAACAGACAATGTTACTGTTTACGGAAACATCTACTACGTAAGTTCTCTGACAAGTCAAACTTGTGCGGCAGTGGGAATTTACACAAATTTTTGATTATTATTTTTTCAAAGAATTTCTCCCTTTGCGATGTTGGCTTACGTTCCCACAGTCATTAGTGCGGAGAATCCTGAGCAACTTAAAAGGTTTGCGACAATCTTCGAGTTTTTAAAAAAATTATTCGACGAAGAAGGTCAGTCGACTGAAAATTGAAACATTATTGGACGAATGACGTGCGCAAAGACAGAGTCGCGTAATGGCTATGCTAATTGTCAAAGCAAAGATTGAGAAATTCCAGATAACCCCCTCACCTGCGGCATAATACTTTTTAGTTCTGATTGGTTGAGCTACTACTAGGCCATATGATATGGCCCACTAGTAGCGAGAAGCGCCGGCTTTGAAAACCAAAACAGTGGCGACTAAATCGCGTTTTGTTAGCTAAAGTTGTTGTGTCTCGATATTTTTGACTAACTAGTTGGATTTTACTAAAACGATTATTCCTCTCGCCCTCATCGCCTCTGAGTCAATAGCGCAATTGACTCAGAGCCCATTCGGGCTCGAGGAATAATTGTTAAATATTAGAGTTCAGCCTATTCTTATAGCCGTACTGTTTACTGTTGCTGCAGATCATTATCGAAGGTGTCACGGGAAACAGTTATACGGGAGACATTGCAATCGATGAAATTTCATTTGTGAAAGGCTCCTGCAGAGGAGAACCAGTTCCAACTGTCGATGAAGAAGAGTCAGGAAAAAATGGTAATGGTGAGAGTTAAACTCCATTTTTAGTGCTAAAAAGTGCAAAAATATTTCTGCAGGCTTGTTGATTGCTGTAATACACGCGTGATTGTTCAGTATCTAAATGTGCTGTTCAACACTTTATCGATAATCTAAATTGTGAATCGAGGGGACCAGCTCATTAAGTGGTTTGTTATATAGCCCATGGAGAGTAACCTCCAAGAGTACAAATTGTAAAAACCTAAGCTAGCGGTCAACATTGCTCAGAGGCCTTTTTGGAGAGAAACGGTTTTATTGTTTAAAAAATGTCTTGTGCCTCGAAGCAGCCACTCGCAGAGGGCGCGCTGTTGGGGGAAAATTCTAGATATATCCTGTTAAATTAAAAGTTTTAAAAGCTGATAAATGAAAAAAAAAACCATCAATATCAAGTTGCTCTTAGTCTCCTCTCGTAACAGGTGAACACAGCAATAATGGCACTTGCATTAAAAGAAGAAATACCCCTCAGTTACCCCCAAATTTTTATATTGATGCTGATTATCATATTTTGCTTTTCGGCAGTTTCAGATAGATGTGATTTTGATTTGGGATTTTGCGACTGGGGCAATGATTTGTCTGGTGTCGGAAAAAAGCCATGGCGCTTGTCCTCGCACAGAGACAACCAAGTTCCTGCATCGGTTGCTGGAAGACAAGACCACGGAAAGAAACTTGGTACGCCCGCCTGCTAGGTTGCTGTTGTCTGATTACTCATTTATTTATTTTTGCGTCTTGAGGTTTCCATTTCCTATGTAAGCATTGCTCAAAGGCGTCTATGTTATTTAGAACTCCTCTTATGGAATGACAAACATAATTATTTTCCTGGCCAGGAAAGAGAGGACGACCTCTCTTTACCCGGGTATCCTCATCGCCTCTGAGTCAATAGCGCAATTGACTCAGAGCCCATTCGGGCTCGAGGAATAATTGTTTAATATTAGAGTTCAGCCTAATCTTATAGCCGTACTGTTTACTGTTGCTGCAGATCATTATCGAAGGTGTCACGGGAAACAGTTACACGGGAGACATTGCAATCGATGAAATTTCATTTGTGAAAGGCTCCTGCAGAGGAGAACCAGTTCCAACTGCCGATGAAGAAGAGTCAGGAAAAAATGGTAATGGTGAGAGTTAAACTCCATTTTTAGTGCTAAAAAGTGCAAAAATATTTCCGCAGGCTTGTTGGTTGCTGTAATATACGCGATATTGTTCAGTATCTAAATGTGCTGTTCAACACTTTATCGATAATCTCATAAATTGTGAATCGAGGGGACCAGCTCATTAAGTGTTTTGTTATATAGCCCATGGAGAGTAAAGTAACCTCCAAGAGTACAAATTGTAAAAACCTAAGCTAGCGGTCAACATTGCTCAGAGGCCTTTTTGGCGAGAAACGATTTTATTGTTTAAAAAATGTCTTGTGCCTCGAAGCAGTCACTCGCAGAGGGCGCGCTGTTGGGGGAAATTCTAGATGTATACCGTTATATTAAAAGTTTTAAAACCTGATAAATGAAAAAAAAAAACATCAATATCAAGTTGCTCTTAGTCTTCTCTCATAACAGGTGAACACAGCAATGATGGCACTTGCATTAAAAGAAAAAATACGCCTCAATTACCCCCAAATTTTAATATTGATGCTGATTATCATATTTTGCTTTTCGGCAGTTTCAGACAGATGTGATTTTGATTTGGGATTTTGCGACTGGGGCAATGATTTGTCTGGTGTCGGAAAAAAGCCATGGCGCTTGTCCTCGTACAGAGACAACCAAGTTCCTGCATCGGTTGCTTCAAGACAAGACCACGGAAAGAAACTTGGTACGCCCGCCTGCTAGGTTGCTGTTGTCTGATTACTCATTTATTTATTTTTGCGTCTTGAGAGTTTCCATTTCCTGTGTAAGCATTGCTCAAAGGCGTCTATGTTATTTAGAACTCCTCTTATAGAATGACAAACATAATTATTTTCCTGGCCAGGAAAGAGAGGACGACCTCTCTTTACCCGGGTAATTTGAGGGGTTTATCGCTTATTCGAACCTACATAGGGTTTCAAAACTACTCGAGGTTAGTTTTTCCCTTGCTGTTTACTGTTTTCAGACAATATTTGGAAGTAACCTGTCCCGCTGTAGTACTGTACGTTCTTTAATTACTTTGTATGCAGTTTAAGTCTCTGCGATTAAATCCGGGAATAAACTTATCCGTACAACTAAAACAACTAAATGAAGAACATATAAACGCCTTTTATTTTCCCGTTCGATCCCTCAATTAAGTCTTTAGATCCTGCTGTCTAAGGCGCGGGCAAAACTAAGGAATGTAATTAGCAAATGAACTCTATTAACCAGGTGCCGACTCAATTAAGGTTCTTTCCGCTTCTTGCACATAGGAGGGAAGTTTGTATATTCAAATCGGCAGCCTCAACAACAAGCAACGGTTTCGCGTCTGATTAGCCGAAGTCTGTGTGGTCCTAAGTGCCTCGAATTATACTACTTTATGAAGCGCTTTAGGGGAAGCGAGTTGAGAGTGTCTAAAAGGATAGACAGTAAGGAGGATCGACTATGGTTTACAACAGGAGTGGGAGCGCAAACTGAGGAATGGACGAGAGCGCTGGTGGACATTAAAGAGGAACATGAAAATTGCTATCAGGTGTGTACAATAATTAGTCAACTTTAATGTAATTTAGCAACGAGAGGTTGACCTAGTAGTTCGTTCACCTTGATTAAGGAGTAGCCCCATTTAAGGCAAACCACGACAGTCTTGGATTCTGGATTCCACGCTGTGGATTCCGTATTCCAGGTACTTGATTGCTAATTCCATGTATGTGGAACTAATGGACTCCGGAATCCCTGACTTAAATTCCAGATTCCAAGACCATGGATTCCACATTCCACAAGCAAAAATTTCCGAGATTCCGGAATAGGAATTCCGGAATTCTGATTACCTTACATGGAATGAAAGAGGCCGGTCATCATTTTACTGAAAACATTCGTGATCGCCTCATTGATACAATTTTTTCCCTCCGGTATTAGCTTGTTTTTGAGTCTCGCCTTAGTGGAGCTCGAGAATCAGTAGTGGGGCTCGACGATGTTTTTACAACAAATGGCAGTTGCTGCTCAATACGGAACACTCCAGAGAAAACAGAGAAAGGTAATACATTTGTAGATGGAATTTATATGTATATATTTGATATGTGTACCCTTAACTCCAACAGTTCCGGCCGATAAAAGAGAAAGTTATGGTTAACTCTGTAGACATCAGCAACGACCTTAGTGTGGCCCTATTAAACTAAGACTTCCTGGGCATGGGTAATTTCTTGATGCCTTTAAAATGCCCCCTTTCATTTCAGCTTTTTGCGAGATATAAATTTTAATTTGAAATAAGGTTTTGGAGTTACTCAGCGTTCCCGACCGCCAGTCTCCTGAGTCAATTTCAACACAAAAGAGCCAGCCTAACCTTATGCGTTGGAGAATAGGAAACTGCGCCAGCAGACTAACTTATATCTGTTATTCTTTTCCTAAACTCAACTTTAAACTTACCCAGATTCTAGTAGAACCGTCTATAATATTAAATAATCAACCTACTTATCAATGCCATGTTTATATTCTCTGGACTATATCAGCAAACTGCGATTTCGATAAAGGCACGTTCTGTAACTGGGGGCACTCTGTGAAGTCGAGTTTTGCTTGGAGCTTAGGAAGTGGAAAGACTAAGAGTGGAAAAGAAAGCGGAGGGATGACGGGGCCTACTACGGACGCTTCGGGCAAAGGTATTTCATGGCAATTTTTACTGAAGCGTATGACACATTAGTGGCAATAAAAACATCTTAGAGTTAAGTGAAACCCTTTAAATGTAGCTAATGTAATATGTCCTCTCTAATATTGGGTTGATCTGATGTTTTCTCATAGTAACCCTCAAAAGGGCGCTACTGGAAGTATTCTCGTCAATGGATATTTATCCTGGGCTAGTATTGCCAAGCGTTACTATAGGAAGGGTTACAGAGGTTAATTGAACTCTAAAAAAGTGCCACTTTTTTTAAAGAAAACACACACACACACACAAAAGCATCACTCTTTGTAGTACGATGCCTTACATGTCTTACTCTTAGTTCAGTGTACTGAGATGTAATTTTCTGCATTTGGAAATGTGCGCTATATAACTCTAGTGTGGTTTCAAAAATAAAAATAGTTCAGTGTGCTGACGTAATTTTCTGCATTTAGAAAGTGTAGTAACTTTGTCTTTCCATTTTTAGGCCAATATGCTTACATAGAATCTTCTGAGCCTCATATGAAGGGAGATAAAGCCGTGATGGTTAGTGATCTTTTGTCTGGACAACAGTGCATGCAATTCAAGTATCACATGTACGGAGAGGACGTTGGTTCACTGTCAGTTTATAGGCGGGGAATTCTTCAGTGGAAAGAAAGTGGTAACCATGGAGATCAGTGGCTTGAGGGACAGGTCGACCTTGACTGCAGCATTGAGGAGTACCATGTATGTTCTAAATTACTGTTGGAGCAGAAGGGAGGGGAGGAAGAGTAGAGAGGAGAAAGTTTTCCTTCTCTGTACAAAGATGCAGTCATTTAAGGTCTTAATTCTTATAAATTTAATTAAATCTGTCGTCAAAACTCCCAAGCAAGACCATCTGTCTGAAAGTTGTCTCAGTCAGCGTACAGCATTTAAGTTTGAATGTGGAGTAAGGTCACTGATTTCTAGGTTAATCGTTCTAGAAATACAAGGACAGAATCTGATGTAGATATCATTAAATATCTTTGTTGTTTTTGTCAAATAAAATTTCAACTTTACTTTTCGAGCTAGTTGTAACTAATAACTTTTTCTGTTTATACGCAGGTTGAAATCGAGGCGTCCGTTGGGGGATGGCGTGGAGATATTGCTTTAGACGAATTGCAATTTACTCCAGGGTTCTGTCCTAATAAGACCAATGTTAGTGCTGTATCGCCTACTAATACACCAGTTATATTGCCAACGCCTCCTCCACCATACCGTAAGTGCAGTTAAAAGACTTATAAGCGAGGGCAAAACTTTTTCGTTCCACCTGCATCCTGTTGATTTTCAGCTCAAATTATTTTTAAACCCTCTTCAGTTCCTCCAGCCTTGGCAAGACACAGGGACGAGTGATCGAGATTATTTTTTGCGGGCAAAATCGTTCAAGGAAACTAACAAACTTGTCTCAGAATAATTTTGGAAGTGACAGCATTTACCCCACTCACAATATAGAACCCCTCTGTTTCCTCAGGATGAAATTTCCATTTTTCGAAAAAGCCAATTGAAAACTGTTACCTGTCAGAAAGAACTTAGGTTTGTTTATTTCAGTCGTCATCAAAGCCAGCTTGTACCGTAAATTATTAACATGTCAAATATTTTGGTGTAAAAGAAGGAAATGGCGAAGCAAGCTTCAAAAATATTCCCTTTACGTGACCTTCTTTTCACTTTTGCTAAATGGGATAACAATTTTTTTGAGTCTCCCATGATCATGACCTCACAAAGACATTTATAACTTAAGTAGAGAATATAACGCTCCTTTACTTTCTAAAAATAATAATTCCAAACGGACTTCTTTGAATTCGCGAGTTAGGACAAGTTCAATATTAGAACTCTTGCATCTGTAGGAGTATTGCTCGTGCGTTGCTTAACTTGTTTTTAACGTAATCATAGGGACATGTACCTTTTCGCAAAGCTTGTGTGGCTGGACAAATTCACTCAATGACAGTGGAGACTGGAAAATATACGCCGATGACACACCCTCCTTTAACACGGGACCTCATTATGACTTTGACGGAAACGGTAGGTGGTCAAAATTGTTGGGTCCGGGTCAAGAGCGCAGTCACATTATCGACACCGCCTCGGCGTGGTTGTCAGGGTTTTAAAAGGGAGGTTAAGCAACTACGACAGCGACGGCTGCGAAAACGTCACTTAAAAAGTAAATTCGCGCTGTTTCAAAAATTTGTCGCACTTATCTATCTCCGGCGTTCAGTTCGTCAAATGTTGGCAAATTTATCTGGAGTTGAATTCTAAAGGACTGTGTCAAAGTACAGGAAAAGAATAGGAAAGTCGTTGTCTTCCGGCTGTTCACGTCCCCACAAAAAGTGAAAATAGGCATTTTTACGTCGTGCATGATTCACGTGAAAAGTTGTTGTTTTGCTAATCTAAACCTGTTGCCTTTTTGTCATTCTCGTTGCCGTCGCCGTCATCGTTGCTTAAGCTTCCTCTTGATCGCAGTAATAGGATAATAGCATAAATGTACGTGAACCAATTGCGTTAATCATCCTGGGAATCGTATTCGATTCAATGTGATCAAAACCAATTCATCAAATGAAATATAAGTACAGTGATATAGGAACGAATAAATGATGCTATTTTTCTCATGCATGCAGGTTTCTATATCTATATGGAAGCCTCAGACCTACTACAAGGGCAAGAGGTCCGTCTGGAGAGCGAAACATTAAGAATTCCAGTTTGTTTAAGTTTTTCTTACTATATGTATGGTAAGGATGTCAAAGAACTGCGACTGGAGCAGCGAAACTTAATGAATAACGAAACCAAAGTTGTATGGACAAAGAAGGGCGAACAGGGGGATCACTGGAACTTTCAGTTACAAGAATTAAAAGGAGAGCAATACACGGTAATTATTTAAGCAATAGAAAACTTTTTCCGTGTTTGCATAACCTGGTATAATCACGAGAGGGGTTAGGAGAACACGAGACAGTTATGTGAACCCGAAACGAAGTCGAGGGTTTGCATAACTGTCGAGAATTCTCCCCAACCCCTCGAGTGTTACCACTAACAAAAAATATTTAATAAATTTAGAGCGCTTTTTTCTCTTTCTTTGTCGGAAGTTGTCTTAAATGGACTTCGAAGACGACTTGACATTCTTTTAAATGCTTTTTTTTCTGTAGATATCTTTTGTAGCAGTCCGAGGCAAATCTTATCTTAGCGACATTGCTATTGATGAAATATCTATCCTCGATGTAAAGGAATGCAAAAGTTTGAGTGGGAAGGCTGGAAAACAACCCAATCCAAAGGATGGTGAGTAATCGGATTTCGAGTCGGTAGAAAAAATTAAATAATAAAACGGTTTCACTCCCGACTCATGATATGAATGCATTTTAACTGCCGGAAGAAAAATGTCATATTATCATCAAGAAATTGACAGAATCTAATCTATCCATGAAGACTATTGACAGAATCTAATCTATCCATAAAGACTGCCAACATTATCAGTACAGCTGGGATAGTCAGGAACTTTCTCAATGTAGAAATTAAACCTTATCGGCATTTACCTCGTGTACCGAACACAGATGACGTAAAACAAACGAACAAAAAGCATGAAACAATAGAGTACTAAAGTGATGACGTCAAAAAATGAAATTTCTGAAATTATGGGATTTGTCAGGATATTCTGAAAGAACAATTTCCAAGATGCCTACTTAGTTACCAAAAATGGGCATCTCGGGGCAAAATTGTCTCGGAGATGTTATCCGGTTATACTCAGAAAATTAAACTCCATACAAACCCTTCTAATTTTTTTTGGGTCGACCCAAAAGCATTTAGAAGGGTTTGTATTGAGTTTTCTAAGCATTACTGGGCTACACCCCCAGACCTTTAAGAGTGTGTGTATTAAGTGCCACACTAGTCGGCCATTGAACAGCTTGCTCGATCGTATGTGTTGTTGATTTTTAATCGAGGTTCTCCCCAATTCTGTTTTTGCATTTCCGTTTCTTTTTTTTTTTGTCGTTTCTAAAGTATTGTCATTCTCGTTAGTTGTATTACTAATTTTCTTTTTTTTTTTCCTGGACCTCGTAGTGGAGCTAACTCTGTGAATGATCCAGGCCTCTTGACGAAGTTTATAAATAAAATAAATAAATAAATAAGAGGCAGGTATCTTAGTTTGGAACCAATCAGACTAGTGACAGCTTAAATATGTGGCCAATACGGAAATGTTTCGGTTGTTTTCTACCAGCGGTTTACAAGTAAAGAATAATTATTCTTTTTTGTTTTAAGATACAGAATTTTTCCTCGTAGAATAAGAGATGAATTAATGGTTTTTTTCTTGTTGCCCCAAGGGAATTGTGACTTTGACAAAGGCTTCTGCAAATGGCAAAACGTTAAGGATAACGTTTTTGATTGGACCAGGAATTCAGGAAGAACACCTTCTTCCGCAACTGGACCAAGTTTTGACCATACAAAAGGTCAAACACGTCCAAAAGGTAATCTTCTGATGATTGCATGTCCACCCTGCTAGGGTTCTAGAAAAGAAGTAGAACTATTTTTAAACAACTATTAACTTCAGAATCAGCTTTATGGGTGCAGACCTCTCCAACGGAGATGGACATGAACGGTTTCTCGGTAACTAAGAAGTTATATTGCCAAGCCATCTCTCAAATAATCCAGTTTCTTTACAAATTTAATAACATCTCAATTGATATTTCTTTTTCTTTAACATACAAACCAGGCCATTACATCTACTTAGAAGCTTCTAATCCGCGCAGAAGGGGAGACACAGCTCTTCTTCTCCTCAAGCTTGAGGGCAGTTCCTTTTGCATGCGCTTCTGGTATCACATGTATGGCAGGGATATGGGCTCTCTCAAAATTGTGCACATTATCAAGCAAGGTACAATAAAAGACGAACCTGCGGATGACGACCAGCCTAAAACTATTGAGTTCACACAAGGTTTGAGGGGAAGCCGAGATACTCGGAAGATTACGTGGCAGAAATCGGGAAATCATAGAAACAAATGGCACCAAGCTGAATTGGACCTTAAGCATGGAAAGTCTGCTGTTCACTGGGTGAGTTTCAACGGGATGGAAACATGTTTTACTTAAAAATAACGTAATATTGTGCTACTTATGCACTGAGAAACAACGAGTAATTGATTTGTAAATGTTCCCTCAACTGATCATTGCAGGACACTTTACCATTCTATTGTTAATATAAGCCCACCGTTCTAGTGCGGCTTAAAACGTTTTCTTCGAGTAACATAAGTACGCACACGATTTCCGCGTTCTTTTATAATGTTGCTTTTAAAATTGCCCACACGCAAGTAAAAATTATGGAAAAGCAAAGGCAGGGGTGCAGTATTGAAAAAGGCTAAGCTCTCTCCTGATCTAAATAAAATGATAAAGACTTCTTAACATTTGATGACATTCTCGCTATAACTCGTAGTAGAGTGACGACAGTTAACGCGTTTTCCCGCCAAAATGACCAGGTTAACGCGCGTGGCGTGCACTACTTTGTATTAAGAAAATCTCGTACCCGTAGTCGTACTCGTCTTAGAATCTAAAGGTCTCTATTTTTAGTCCTTTCTTGTTTAAGGCTACTTGAAAAAGGTTGATCATTATCTCTTTCGAATATGATGTCTCCTTAGATCGGTATCGTCGGCGTGATCGGTAAAAGCTACACCAGTGACATGGCGGTGGATGACATTCAATTCACAACCGGAAGTTGCTCGAGTAGAAGAAAAGCTTGAAAAGGGAATTTCTGTTTCGATGTGAGTATGTAGATTAAGGTGAATTAATCCAGAATCTTCGGGTTACACAGTTTGTCTCCAGAAACAGTATATGAGTAACGTATGAAGCAAGAAACGCATAACAAAAATATAAGATATCCTCGTCATTCCAGAGTTCCTGCTCAAGGTAACCTTACGTACCAATGCCAAAACCCAGAAAAACTCTGTATGAAACATATTCACAGAAAAAGTTATTCTAGTTTATCATGTGGCTGAATTTGCAAGCGCGCAAGACAAAAGGAATTCTGTGTTCTGATTGACTACCCTGCCGGGCATGATGGGCCTATATAACAGTATGCGCTTGGATTTTTCAGTGTTAGTGCAGCAAGGAAACGTTCACTATTTGGCCATATATGTTGTCCTAAAATCATACTAGCCCGAGTGGGGGGGGGGGGGGGGGGGGGGGGGGAAAAACGGCGGGCCAGGGAAAAAAAAAAAAGTGGGGGAAAAAACTTTTTTTTCCCCCCCCCCCCCCCCCCTTTTTTTTTACACCTTTTTTTTTTTTTTTTTTGTCCTTCTCTCTTTTTTTTTCCACATTTTTTTTCTTTATCATTATTTTTTTAAAACCCCACTCAACACAACACTAAGAGTGTACAATGAAGTGAGGTGTTGTGTTGTGTTTGCCGCGGGGCTGGGGGGGGTGTGAGATTTATATAGTATTGGTTGTATTTTTGTTGTTGGTGGGAGAGGAAGACCGGTGTTTTTGTGTTTTGGAGGTTGTGGTGGAAACAAGGGGGGGGGGGGGGGGGGGGGGGGGGGGGGGGGGGAGTTGAGAAAATGCGGCGCACGAGAATAAGTCAAATCAGTGTGTCACAATCATTTTTGCCTCCTCTACCCTCCTCCTCTTGACTTGCAACTCTTTTATAATTTCTTTGGCCTTTCACCGTTTCCTTACGTCAGAATTTTAACTCATATTGATAATTTTGAAAACTCCAGTCCAACTAGAGTATAAGTGGTGAGTTTGAGTGTTAAGGTTTCTATTGCATTGTCATTAAGTCCTTCTTTCCGTTCATGGATAATGTGTCACGAATCTTCCATCTTTTAATCCGAGATTAAATTTGTTGAATAAAACCACTTTATTGAAGTAAAGGTTACATCCAACATATTTATACTTACGTTTAATTGTTGTTACGTTGCAGATTAGATCCTGAAAATGACTAGAATAGAAGAGGCATTTTCTTAATATTACAACACCAGAGAAACGGTGCCTTATTTTCAAGAAAACCATGGAGTGTTCTCTTTGTTTATTACTCAGCTCAGTTAATATTTTGTTGAATTTAGGACCATTCTTACGTAGAATGACCTGTAAAGTTTAGAAGTAATATCAGTGTAATTGCATTTACCTGTAGACCGGTGCGGAAATACTTGGTTCGTTCAGGAAACCTTCACTATTTTGAGATTGTGCTCAAAATACTCAGAATACTATAAAAATGATATTCCCGCTCTCAAAAAATAATAAATGAATAAATAAATAAATAATGGTAAGAAAGGGGACTTATAAACTTCAATCTTTGCCCGCACGCTGTCATTGTCTGTGAATACTGAATTATTCTAATCATCCACTCAGTATTATAACCATCTTCGCAACTGCATAAGTTGCGTATTTAGCTGCGATGATCTTCTTTTCACTTATTTCTTCATCGCAGTTCAAATAAATGAAATTTCATAGAACAACTACTTCTTACAATAGTGCCTAATAACGTCACAGTCAACCAAAATGGCAGAACTCAAAGAGAGATGAAAATCCAGTTTCTGGGCATTTACATTTTTCTTCCTACTTCCTATGAAAGAAGTTGAAATGTCAAAATATATTTTTGACAAGTTGAAGACAATTTGTTGTAACATCAAGTGGAGGTTCCCTTTTACATCCAACATTGCAATTTCGATATCGAATTCGCCGGCAGTGTGGACTCTGTTTGAATTTATGATATGATCGTTTTTCATTCACGCATGCACTGATTAATTCCGGTATAGCGGTACAACTTTTCAGTAACGAGAGCACTTGTTTATAATATAGAATATTTGATAATAAACGGGCGAACATGAAACATAATCACTCAATTATTATCTTTTATCATTATATCTAGAATTAGATGAATTTAATAGAGAAACCCAACAGCAGTCTTTTCTCGGATTTGAGTCTTGTGCTGTACATGAGATACAAAAGCAGAAAGGGTCTCTAGACAACAACAAAAACGAGACTGTACAGAGGGTTTACACATGACGTTAGGCGATCATATTGATGTTCAAAAATAATGAAACGGCCGCCACACTGGTGTTTCAATCCAATCCTGTGTGGTTAGTGGAACTCTTTTCGGATGTAAAACGCTCTCTTTTGTTCCAATAAATTTGCATAGATGCTGGCCACGTGAGTGAAAAAGCTCTATACGTTTCAGCTCCTTTCGATCCATTTCAAATTAATGAGCCGTTCTTCTGATTTCAATTATTGAAAAATACTATAAATTTAGGCAACTAACACACCTTGTTCATCGACCAAAATTTTGCATAAGCATTGTTTTTTGCTTTCTCTTAAGACCCTTCTTATGTATTTTTTTTGGTGGGGGGGGGAGTTGGGTAAACAAGGTTTATTATGGCCAGTGTGATAGTGGTGAATTGAAGAAAGGACAAGCACAGACTAGCTTAAAAAGTATGATATACTTTTGTTATTACTTTTCCCCTTGCGTCCTTCTTGTGACCGCTTGAGCCCCTTACGCCATTCGTAAAGGTGATTTAACATAAACCTGGCAATTAATTAGGTTCAGTCTGTTGATATATGTCTTTTAGTAATTTTTTCAGCTTTACAATTGAAAGTAGTATAGATACTCGCCCTAGCTTCAAAAAAATTGAGTTTTCACAATTTGAGGAATGAACTAGCGGATCTTTACATTCAAATTAATCTCATCTCCACACTGGAAGCTAGGAACAAAGAATTCTGGAAGGCTTTCCTTTTATCTAGTCCCCTGGGCTCTTCCAAGAAGAGTGAGACAATGCGTGGAAGTAATTTTGCTCTCTGAGAAATGTAATGATTTATTCAGTAACCTTTATCACGGTTTTGTTTACTGAGTTGTTTGATAAAAAAGGGAAATAAAAGAAATGTCATATACTTTGATTAAAAAGACGGAATGTTACAATACATTGTAGTTTCCATCTCCCCTTTCATAACACGGAAGCCAGAGGCAAGCTCGGATTACTTTTTGAGAATTGTAATAACTTGTTTTACTTTATTAAATTTGCTCTTTCCGTTTTATTCCCTTATCTGCCCCTAGTCGATGATTAACACCATCGACTGATGAACATTTTGTATTATTTTCGCTGATAACCAAGCAAAAGTCTTTTATTTCAAGAAAGTTGTCGATAATAAAGAGACCGCCTTAAAATTAATTTCTCACTCATTGAAACAATCTTCTACAAGTTCCAAAAGGTACTCGTTTCTGTTGAGCTAGACTGCCTATATCTCATTACATCATATGGTTTTTTTAACGGGTATAGTACATGCCTTGTTTTTACAAAGGCTAGGTGGGCCTTAATAGTTTTGTAAAGATACCGTGAGGAATGAGTTAGCTCTCGTCTTTTATTTGCTTTAACAGGGAAGCCGGCAAAATTCGCGTATGAAAGTTAAACTTTTGGACTGAATAAAAAAGCATTCGGAAGCGTCGGGGATTTATTGTTCCGGCATAATAATTAAAAACCAGTTATATTTTATTGCCGTTTTGGTTTTCGAATCGCATAAATAACTCCCTTTAACTGCTGTCGAGCACTAAACCGGGCTGTCGACGTCAGAATAAAGTCTGAGATTCATTGAAGGAAGTTCGCCCTCTCTCACATATAAAATACCCAGGTACGTTTCCTTCCGTAAGCTCAGCATTAATGTATTTTTGAGAAAATTATAATTGTTGTGTTTCTTTGTTGATCTATAACGTTCATGTAAGGCTTAGAATTTTATATTTCGTGACAAAAGAAGTAATTACGTACATAAGTCAATTGAAATTGTTTGCGTTTCGTGAAGAAATGTATCAACATATCCATAAATTCAAAGGAAATTTGTTTTTATTTCGACCCTAGAGTGTATTAATTTTTATTTTCAAAAGAATTGCTTTGCGTTAGTAAAGTAAATGAAAGTATTTTTTTGAAGTCAAAAGTCTACGGTCAATCACATAATTAAAACCTATCTAGGATGGGTTACTAACAGGGAGAAAAGTCCCTATGTATGTTACAGGTCAATATTAGTCAGGTTAAAATTTTTTAGGTAGGTTGATACTCTGTTTCCTTGAGGATCAACCTGAACTTTATTTTGACCTGTAAAATATACATTGAAGAGCTGCCAGGTCACATAAATTTTTATCTGGTTCGCGACATGCCAAAAGTGTTTGAAGTAGCCAAATGGAAGTACCATCTTGAATTTGGCAGCTTGCATTTACTACATGTATCGATGCCATTCCATCGCACATGACAGACATTAGGGAATTTTAAGCAAATCGCTATGGCGACCTCTGCTACGGCGGCCGGAAGTAAAAAAGCCCAAAACTTGACACAGTGCGCATGCTTGGAAATGACCTTTCGCCGTAGCGCCAAATCCTGCAACGTAAAGACCTGCCTTGTAACGTAGTGGCTACTACGACACGTGAGAATAAAAGTTGACTTTTCGCCAATGTTTACAATCACTGGTTTTAAAACCCAGCCACATTAAAAAATTGTTTTTGCATGGAGAAATATTTCCAAATGTAATAAGGAACTTTGAATACCTGTATATCATTGACAGGAACCAAAACTTAGCCTAAACAATCCGAATAAGAAATTGGCCTTTACTGCCCTACACAGATCTTCCAAGACTTCACGCGTCACTTAAATCCAAGATGGCGGCTTTCATTTCCGTTCTAGTGCCGGCTAGGTCTGATCAAAAAACAAAACAATTGATCAAAAATGTCTATTTTTTTTTTACTTTCAGGCTAAATTAATGTGACTAAAGAAAACGAATGCAAAATACTGACAAAATATCATATCGACATTTCCAATTTAATGCGCATGCTGCTCCCACTGAGAAACTTGAGTAAGGCTGGTCAGAATTGACAAGGCTCTGTGACTGAATATCACTGTATGGGAGGCAAGTCTGGAAATAAAAATAACTCTGAATATTTCGATTTAATAAGATTATTATCATTACTGTAATTTTTGTTTTAAAGCTGCTGAATCATGCTGATACAATAAGTAGTTTATAAAAGGAATTACGTCATTGATGACAACTGCTCCACCTAATCCTTTCTTCCAGTTTTCCCTGATTTTACTCCGCCTATTCTCTCATTCTTCGTTGAATTTATACACGTATTTTGATAAACTAAAAGCACATAACTTCTAATCCGCAGAGGTGGTTTCGTGCACTGAAGCCGGACCAATAACCTGCCGAAAAGTAATCGCTTCCTAGCCAAATTACTGACACTTATAACTTCCCTCTTTAAACAATAACTCAACACGAAAGGCAGGTAACGGCTTTCTGAGTTGAAATAAATCGTAAATAAATGAAGTTGATGGTTTTTTAAATTGAAAATAATAAATACACATCGAACAAACTTTCCTGTAAATTTTTCGATGAGTACCCGGCTAATTATTATCCAAATAACATATATGTACCAATTTGATATATTCGGTTTCTGAAAAACTAATTTATATTGTTAAAACTTCTTGGTCAACTCCTCTTGTGATTATAATAGCTATGTTTGTATCAGGTGTTCTGATTCCCAGTTATATAAATTAAAGTAACACTTTACCCAATATTTCTAATATGATTGGAATATTCGTAATTAACTGTCTGATGCGTCCCACGCTTTAAAACAATTAGTCGGCTCATTATTGTGATTTTAAATATTATTTCTGCCCTTCTCAATTTTTAAAGTCGATGTATTTTACAATTTCCACAAATGACAGCTTCACAGGGTAAATTGAATTAACTGTGCGAGGTCTCTGTGGCCAGTTTTATCATCAGTTTTATTTTCATAGCGGGCGCAAACTTTGTCTGGGTAAAAAAAAAGATTGAAGTCAGAGAAAGCGTGAAATAAAAATATGGTTACCAGGAACTTGTCGTTCTACTAATTTGAATTATAGCGGGGATAAATTTTGCTCACACTGTATTTTATTTATTATAAAAAAAAAATCAATCGTGTGAACAAAGGTAAGTGAGACGACTCTTTCAAAGGCCGTCTTCAGTTTGGCCGCTCTAGGCTTGTCCCATCTCCAGATGACGGCCTCTCCGATTCCCACGCTTAAAAAACAATGATGCTCTATGAAATGCTGAATAAAACAAGCGGCAGTTTCTACGGCGAGAATCAGTTCAAACTTGCGTCCCACCGGTAAGCGTTTTTTTTTCTCTCTAGCTGACGCCAACGTTTAACCGGGATCCTTACAAAGGCAAAGACATGGAAAAGAGGGCTTTGTTAATTACTTGCCTTGTTTTGCTCATCTGTACTAAAGATATGATGGCCAGAAATCTTAAAACAAGCTACAAGAAGAAGGTAAGTTTGGAACCTAAACACCATGTTCTAGTCTCCACGGTCACACCAGCTTATGCATTTGGCATGTTAAATGTTGCAGCTCTCGCATTTTGGCCAGGCTTGGCGAATAATATATATACTGCCAATGATAATCCATTTACAGTCTCAAATGATGTTACCGCAATTGCTTTAAGATTTTAAAGGTTTTCGAATGCCATGGCCAGTCAATAGTGAAGATTATTACTTATAGTAACGAGTATTAGCCGAGGCTAACATATCTGTGTTTTCAAGGATCACATAATTTTACCCGTTTTCTAAAGAACACTGTAATGTTTAGCAGGGCCGATCATTTGACTGTGCAGGGGGGGGGGGGGGGATGGGGTAATAGATAATTTTTTAAAATATTGAAGGGTAGTTGTCGACGGTATATTTTGTGTGTTAGTAATGTCATAATTTTTTTCCATTGTTAAAAAAAAACTGAGGGGTGGTGGGGGGGGGAGGTTACTGGGGGGGGGGGGGGGGGGGGGGGGTATGGTGATTTCAGACAAAAATAAAGCTAAAAAAAATAAAGCGTATAAAGCTGGAAAAAAATGCTACACCGTTGTATGTCGGGAAAAAAATGCTATCACCAGAGGTTTGGGAGAAAAAATGTTTGCCAAACCAAATCACCCATCCCCGCCCCCGCTTCCCCTTAAAATGTCAAATGGTCGGCCCTTTAGTTTGGAATAAGCCGGGTATCAAACCTGTTGAAAATGGTCCCCCCGAGGAATTAACCTTGGAGATAATCATACAGAATAGCCCACGTTCGATGTATTAAAATTCTATCATAACGCCGACGCTTTCTGGTCATTTTTCTATATTTGGCTTGGTTTTCTTTGTGCTCAAGTCTCTTCTGGGGATTGTGAGACAATGGAGTGATGAAAAATTTGCAATTTTGACCCTAAAGCCTCAGATTCATGTTAGAATTTTAATATATCGAACGTGGGCAAATCAACGCTTTAAAAACATATTTCATTAATTGTTTGACAATTCGTTAGCTCCTTTTTGTCAAGATGTTCAAGTTAGTATCAATACGCAATCTGGAATATTATTTGTTCTTAGCAATATTGTAATCACCAATAGACCTATTCGGCTAACTCAATGTTGTACTCAGTTCAAACCCTTTGGGAATAAAACGTTTTGTTTCAGGAATTTCCATATAATTTAAATGTGAATGCCACGTTATAATGCAAATACAATACACAAAGAAATCTTAACCTCGGGAGACTTGAATTCGGTACAACATTGAGTTAGCCGAATAGCTCTATTTTATTAGTCATCGATCAGAAAATGGAATATTACTGATTTGTACTAAGTAATAGCACCATCTGATAATTTCATTTTTGTGCACTTGGTATATCTTCCAAGTTACAATTGGCTACACCGCGCAAAACTAGTGGAAGTCAACTATGTCAACATTGCATTGGAATTTTGGTTTTTTGTCTGGGATCGATTTATCATCGCAGTTGACATCTTAGGCCACATTAACTTAAAGCGCATACTCTGAAGTGCAACAATTGACATCAAAACTTATGCTAGATATTTTATGAACACTATAGCAGTACGTCAAAAAATTATCAAGAATTTCAACAGAATGTTTTAAAATAGGACCTGTTTTGGGGGTGACGGTCTCAGAATTTTCCAGTTTTTTAACTTCTTAACTTGCGACCATTTGACTAACTGTCTAATACCTATGATCGCTGAACGTACTACGTACCTCAGCCGTATACGAAGAACTTTAAGTGACAACACTGAATTACACATATCGTAACTTTCATTGGCCGAGCCAAATGAAGTTGTCTTTCTTAGGGATTAACCAGTTCGTTAAGATGACTGCCCTTTTTCATATTTCTTGTCTATAGCATGTTCTATTCCAGACGCGAAACGTGAACCCATGCGACCTATTAGGCGAGTCCTGTACAAGCAATGACGATTGTCCTGGAAGTTGCGCTGGGAGGAACCTGTTCTGTTACCATAATGAAATTTGTGCTGAAGAAGTGTGGGATCCATACAAGAAAAAACGAGGCATCCAGCGATCCATGGACAACGAATAAATAACAGCATCTGAACTTTATACGAGTAGCGCAAATAATAAAGTTTTTAATGACAGTTTAAGTTAATATATACTGAATTTGTCGTCGGTTTAGGGACAAACGGTTGAAAATATTAAATTAGAGTAGTGTAACCAAACGTGTAACCGTAACAACGGAGCAATTAAGTAATAAAATATAATTGATCGGAAGATTTTGTCGTCTCGAAAACCTGTTACGAGGGATAGCAGCCTGTCATTAAAACCTTTGACATCGATACCCAATTGTATTCAACAATTCCAGAAATAAGTTGCCTCTATGGCCGACCCCAGTGCCCGGCTAGCTCCGTCGACCATTTTTTTATTACCACAAATTTGACAACATCTGTGACCTATAACTAAACATTAACGTGCCAAATATGAATTTGTTTCTTGAATACGAGACAGCATTATATCTAGGTCATCTCTCTTAACATATACCATCATCGGTGCCCGGCTAGCTCAGTCGGTAGAGCATGAGACTCTTAATCTCAGGGTCGTGGGTTCGAGCCCCACGTTGGGCGGCGAAATTTTTTTTATTCAGTCCAGAAAAAATATAAAATCACTCGAAAATTATCCTATGCGATGACGTATTAGCCATCATATAAACCTGAATAATATATGCAAAGTTGCCAGTTCGCAAAGAGTGTCAGTGAAAAGGGTCAGCCTTCCCGGACATAATTAGAACTCGGAGTCCTTTGTCGTGTTCCTCGACAGGGATCTCGTCCAATACCCTAATGCTAATTAGTCAGAGAAAAGGATAATGAACTATCTATGACTTATATAACCACACAGAAGCAGGCCAAATATGAATCTGTTTCTTGAATACGGGACAGCATTACATGTAGGTCGTCTCTCTTTACATAGCTTAGTCGGTAGAGCATGAGACTCTTAATCTCAGGGTCATGGGTTGGAGCCTCACGTTGAGCGGCGAAATTTTTTTTCATTCAGTCCAGAAAAATCATTAAATCACTCGAAAAGCAGTGATCAAGAATGCCTTGAAAAAAGACGGAAACTATAGTCTTGGTTTCTTAAATTGCCTTAAAAGTCGGCGATCACTTGGAGGCCAGTTTCCTGTTTTTCCATTCTATTCAGAGTACGAAACAATCAGTGCCCAATCCACCTGCGACTACTTGTTGGCTATTTTTTCGTTATTCCAAATTTTGAAACTATCTATGAAGTATATAACTACACAGAAGCACGCCAAATATGAATCTGTTTTTTGAATACAAGACAGTATTACATGTAGGTCATCTCTCTTAACATACACCATCATCGGTGCCCGGCTAGCTCAGTCGGTAGAGCATGAGACTCTTAATCTCAGGGTCGTGGGTTCAAGCCCCACGTTGGGCGGTGATCTTTTTATCGTGTAGATTGAAAAATTAAAGCACTCAAACTGCAATGAACATGACAGTCATTTTTTTGAATGGTTTTTTAATCTCATGTCATAATCATCAAATGGCGACACGGTGGAAGTTACCCACGAGAAAAGTTATCAGAAAGAACGAAGAAAGTAAGTACGTTTGAAAAGCTGTTTAATAGATAAATTAACACTGGGAGATTTTGACAACAGCATTCAGCCGTTTTCGAAGTTTATTTGAAGTACCTCATAGATTATGGTTTGAGATGGTCAAAGATTAAGGTCAACGTCGATTATTGTCTAGTTTGCTCACTTCATCCTAGAACCAATAAAATTCATTTAAAGTTGGGAGAACGGTTCTTCGTTAGTCAAGGTTCCCGGCTCTTCCGTCTGCTCCATCGCAGCTGTTCTCTGCTCGTCAGAGACTGTTGTTCCTTCCATTTCAAGAACAGGATTTCTATTTCCAATGTTAGGAACTGATGCCTTTATTCCCATACCTCTGTATTCTTTTTGGGAATCATTCTTCAAAGGTTCTGTTCCTCTCGCCAGTGACATCCCTGACACATTCTGCTTATAAGCTAAATTTGTACCCTGATTATCTATTTCATCGGACATACCAGTATTATTAAAAATCTTTGTAGTCTTTTGTTCCAGTTCAGCATCACTATTCCCAGCAATGTTATACGCCGCTTCAGTCATCTGCTGGTCAAATTCAGCTCCTACGGGATCGCTTTGGTTTTCATATTCACCCTGCCTTGTTGCATTTAGCGCCTGCTCCTCGTCATTTTGAAACTCATCTAAAACTCCTCCATTGGCGGCTTCGTAAACCGTCTGCTCACTGAGATCAGAATCTAGCTGTTCCTTCATTTCGTCTTCCCCAATAATTTCCTCACTGTCTTCGCCAACTGCATCCGCAGAAAATCCACCTTTTCCTGGAAAGTAATGGTATGGGTTTCCTGCTGCAATTATTCGTCTTAACCGTGATAAAAACACTCAAATTCGATTTTTTAATAATTGTAGGTGGGAATCTGCTGGCGCCTTCGACTACAGAACCGTTTTTTTTTTTTTTTTAACTTCAGCAGGGTTGTCTCTAACAGCATGTCACCAGTACATATTTAGACACCTTGAAGAGACACAAAGAGGAAGAGAAATTCTGTTTTACTGAGGAAACGCGATTGCAAGGCTTGAGCCTTCGGGCCCTTCATATCCGACGTTCGTGGTGTTAACCCGCTTGGTCTTACTACTCCTCAGTAGAACACAAATATACTGACTTCTTTCATAATGGCGGCCCAGCGAGGTCAGGAAGGAGAATTATCATACACATAAAAAAATATATTACCAGGCTGCCATTATGAAATAGGTCTATAACTGAGGGTTATTAGCTTGAAGCGAGGGGTGATCATGTGATATATCGACCGAGGCCGCAGCCCGAGGTGGATATATCAAATGACTACGAGCTAAAAGGCGATAAACGGCTTATCTTTATCTTCAACCTTTAATGGCCGGGATTCTAAGGGATCCAAAAATGAAATAAAGAAAAGCGCGTCTACCTTTCACCTTCTTTTGTATCTCTACATTCCGTTGTGATATTGGTGGTATAAACAAAGCTCCAAATAGTTTTCAGTGAGTTAATTATATGCAAAGATTTCAAAGTCGCATTTCGAATAAGTTGTCTTAAGTCATGCTTAAAACAGTAACGTCGAGTGATGAAAAATCACAAGGTTTTATACACAAAGAAGCTTTTGAGCGGTATTTGAGCTTAACATTCGGATAACTATCTGGAACCGTCCGAGAGGAGGAGCCAGAAACTGCTGAGTTGTCATTTCCAGACAGAGGATTGCGATTGACGATAATTTACAGAGGAAAATCTGGGCCACTTAGGTAGTACAGCTATGAGCCACAAACTCTTCAACATACGGCAAAGAAGTCAACGGGTCCTGCAATGAATTTAGGATGACTGGGTAAAAGAGCGCAAGCAAAGGTCTACCAGGAAGAGAAAGTGACATTCAGGTTTGGAATTTTTAAATTAAAAACAGTTCAGCAATTTTAGTTATTTCCCTCTAACTAGGCAATTTTGTCTACGAAATCAGGATTAAAGATAACACTAAATATTGTTAAAATCAAATCTGGTACTCTTTAAACCTCTTTATAGAGTTAAAGCGTCGTGTTAAATTAACAACAGCCAAACAATACGGAATTTTTTATTCGTTCCTCCTGAATATTTTTGCATGACCACCTCAAACAATCAAAGCTGCACTCAGGTTTTCAGAAATCTGATTTGGAGGCATTAATCATGAACTCCCTGCTAGAAGAAAACAAACAAAGGAATTCTACTTCATGTAAAATAATAATAGAGCCGACAAACTTAACTGAACTCGGGAATCAAACATCTTACTTCTAAAAGAGTAAACTTGATTAGCCCAAGGTCCACCCTCGCCATCAGGTTTACAAGCAGCAGATCTGCCATGTTTGTTATAGGTCTGTGGTGCAGTAGCACTGGCTGCACACCATCCACCATCCTGAACTGCGAACATTTTATAGCCTGCCCTCAAAGCTGCTTTGGCACACTTTACAATGGGATTCTTACGTACAGGGTACTTTCCATCCAGAATAGGATCTTTTCCTTCCATTGTTGGAATCGCGCGATCGGGGCTATCTTTAAAACATCCGACAGTATAATATCCTAGAAATAGGAGAAAGCATTTTATATGTTAGTGTCTAACTATTTGCGCTACAGCAATTTCTGTAGAAGCTCATTAATCCAACGTTGGAACACCTTCGCAAAACTTTGAGGCCAACTAAAAGAGTGCCAGATCAGGGGCTTTCACTTACGGTGATTCGTCAGTGTAAAACAATGATTTTGGCCATTATGAACGAAGTCTGGAGATCAGTAAGTAATACAATTTCCAAGTAGCTGCGAATTCGCATAAATCTACTCACTTAGTATCCTTCGCCGCAATGACATTCGTCCCGCTCCCGCAAGCAAAAAATGAGCACGATAATACGGGAATGGACGAAAAATATCAGTAGTCCTTTGACAAAACATGCAATAAGGAATTAATTGTCAGAGATGGTGAGGGGATCACATTCTACTAGACAGAAAATGAGAACTCCTGAAGTTTTATCAGGTGCCAAAATGACTTAACTAGTGGTTTTTGCACTTCCTCTGCCGGATTACTGCATATGGGACGCTATTCTAAAAATAGTTACCACGGGTATTGTGCTCCCTGACGGCAGTTATCTTTAATTTGGTTGGAGAGATTTAACGCGAAAAACAAAATGATAGCGGAAACTTAACTAAAATTACAATATTAAGACCCTGAAAGTTCATCGTGTCAACAGAAACCATTGGTAACTAATTGTGTTACCACAGGAGACAGGTATTTCGGCGTGACGAAATACATTATTCAGTTGATGCTGTTTCATATAAGAATCAAAGTGAAGGTCAATATGTCTCCAAACTAAACTCATAACAAACTACAATCGGCGACAAAATAAGTTGAAACACTTCGCCCTAAAGGGCCATTCTAACGTTTTGCTATCTTAAAAAGGGGAAAAGAAAGCTTTCGCTCCCCCATCCCCTCCATTCAATGTTGTGCCGCTATTCGAGCTTCCTGTAGAAAACATCAAACACCTACATTTAATGGAGGAGAGGGGGAGGTTTGGATTGTTTTGTTCTCACGAGTTATCCCATTTGAGGACAATGTCTCAACAATTTTGTCGCCAGTTGTCATATAATCAAAACAAGCCCGTGAGGTGCAAGAACCCCCTTTTAGCGACTACCAAATCTTAGTATATTGGGAGGTCGCTGCTTCCGGAAGAAACGACTGCATTCCCGTTGTACCGGTTGGCATTACCTGATGCGCAACCCAAGAGCTCTATCCTCATAGAGATGTGTCCGCCCCATGTTTTAGGATGAACACGAACGTAGCGAGCAAGGATGGATGGTCTAAAACGGTTTGTCACAACGGTGTTACGGTCGCTATTTCCACTGAAGTCCTACAATTGAAAAAGATAAACCATTTTCACGATCAACAATGCATTGGGCAAGTTTGTCTCTTGGAATCACAATTACTATTTGCCTGGGTCAGGATAAGTACAATGAGTAAAAACTGATGTGTAAAACGTTGTTGTGATTTTCGCAAAAGATATCAGCACTGGAATACAATCATTCCATACCGTGTTTGGGTTATAGGGTGTGAAGTTTACGCCGTCGTCACTGTAGGAAACGGTAAAGCTTGTAACCCACTGGTTAAAGTCTGATCGTCCCTGAGTCCTTATACCTGTCACCCTTGTTTTCTGTCCGAGATCCACCTGCAGCCACTGATTAACGTCATTAGTTTTNGGTGTGAAGTTTACGCCGTCGTCACTGTAGGAAACGGTAAAGCTTGTAACCCACTGGTTAAAGTCTGATCGTCCCTGAGTCCTTATACCTGTCACCCTTGTTTTCTGTCCGAGATCCACCTGCAGCCACTGATTAACGTCATTAGTTTTAGAAGACCATGCACCAGTTCTTCCCCCTCCAGCCTGAAAGTTCAGTCTGGCATTTGAAGGGCCGTGATGACTGTTCCACTCAGACGAGGCTGTGATCTGAGAGTCCGGTATGTATTTGCTCTCCATTCCGAGAGGCTGCAAGCATTCTGTAAAAAAATAAGAGATCGGTTCAGTCAAGGAAATTCAAAATTAAGAAAATCTACACCGCCTTGCATACATACATGAAGTCATAAAAATATTCTTTGCAGCCAGGCAAGACAGTAATTATTTGTCAAAGATTCAAAATTGGAGCGCTAAAGGCTCAAGAATTTTAAGATTGATTCAACATTAATTCAATAGCCGCAAATTAAGATGAAAGCTTTATCTGAACGCATTTTCAGCAGTAGTCTCTATATCCTAGCTAGCACTTCATCATTTTACGCACATTCTACCCCATATCTCCCAGAGACTGAGTTTCATTTCATCCCCTGGCGAATACCACGACAGTTCCTTAGAAGGAAATTCGCGGAAATTTGGACACTTTGCAAACGCACACCTAAAACAATCGTACATAAATCTACTCACGTTTTAGCCTTTTCCCTGATGGCAGCCTATTTGCCGCTGCAAGAAAGAAGGTACCAAAATGAATACCAATTTTTTGGCTGTTTTGCTTGCACGTCGCCTTTCCCAATTATATACTGATTATTTTATCCGAAATTCAAGTGAATCTGGATTACATAGGCTATATAAGAGTTAGCCTGCGTAGCAGGCGCTTGGAAGTAGTGAGCACAAGAAAAAACGGGCGCGCGAGAAGGAGACACGCCCTGCAGGAGGCTATATAAGAGTCGGGGTAGGGGGTGAGATTATGTTGCAATAGAAAATGCTAATGTAACCGTATCCCCCAAAGCATAAGCACGAGCGAAACAACTAGAAGTCTTGTGATTCCGGTAACCCGTGCGCGTAAAATTGGATTCTAGTCTCCAGCTATAAAACTGTACAAGGGTTGAACCCAAGGGTCATTTCAAAGGTAGATGGAGAATGATCATCCGGTTGAGCGTAGTCCTGAAAAGGACTGTTGTTGATGGTGACTGACGTTTCAACAACCTGTGCTTTAGTCATTTTCTGAGTTATGTCAGTCACTGTCAACGACATTACTATTCAGGACTACGCTCACCTGGACGATCATGCTCCACCTACTTTTGAAGACTCAAACTATGTTTAACTAGCAGTGAGTATATTTCGCGTCGGTTTCTAAGTACGTCGGGGACAGGAATCTTCAACCCAGATCTCCCAGCGTAAGATAGAGTGAGAGATCTAGGTACGGAATTAGACTGAGGAGCCTGACGATATGGAACTAAGGGTTTTTTTCAAAAGAAAAGACAACGCTGCAGCATGCAGAGAATACGATTTTTAAAATACTCATTTCCACGAGCTAAACGAAACAGAGCTCTTTGGAAAACAGAGCTTGAAAATACCAAGATCATACCTACAGGTTGAAGTACTCCACCAGAACCTAAAAAAAGAGGATTAATTTTATCAAGCTTTGAAGAATTTTGTATGACACCAGAACACTACCACTGGCACTGGAACATGTGACTTAACCAAGTAATAATAATAATATACACTTATATAGCGAATTTCTCTTAGTGATACAAAGAGCTTTACAATCAGTAAATACTTAGAAAACAAATAATTCAAATACAGCATAGCAGGATTTGAAACCGAAACTGGCAGGAGCCAACCAGTTGGCTATTTACAAGCGTGACCGAGGATTTGAGCTCGGGATGACCGAGAACAAATCCAGCAAGAGGCCAGGGCGGGACTCGAACCTGGGACCGCCGGATTGCGAGTCCGACGCGCTGACCACTCGACCAAGCTGCCTCCCTTCAAAAGTGCAAACACAACTCACCTTTACATGCTTTTTCTTTGATCTTCTCAATAACCGAGGAACCTAATTGCTTAAAATCTGCTGTAAACACATGCTCACGGTCCGGGTCTGTTGCCATGGTATTAAGTTGATTCACATCAAATGCATTTCCCACGCCCAAACTAAAAACTGTTACACCCATATCTCGCAATTTTTTTGAAGGCTCATCTATATCATCCTACAAAAGAGGAAAAATAAAGAATTTATATATATTGTATCACGTACAGGTAGTCCATGGAAGATAGGAAAAGAGCCAATTCAAAGCCCTGATGTTGATTTTCTTAGCGATCGTGGCTATCCACGGTAACTTACAAAGTCGGGATGCCGAACTATTAGACGCTCTCAGCTCTCTGTCATTTCAGATGTGCAAAGCCAGATAGTTCTTCTTGATAAAAAAAAAAAAAATCTGTTTTCGCCCATCGTTATACTAACAAGTATTGGCATTTATGGTATTTAACCATACGAACACATAATTTGTACATCGACAATTTACACAGTCGTACATTACACTTAGCGGAACTATCGATCTCATGCGGCTTTCAAGTCGATCTACAGACAATATACAGACTCATAATGCTTTTTGGCCCGACTTTATGCTGGACTAACCACGAGACGCATAATCAAATTCTTGCTTAACTCCCCCCCAGAAGGATTATGCGATTCTAGTAGCCATTGTACGTTGCCGCGATGAACAATAACCATACTTTTAAACGATACAAATATTTATTTACTTTCTGAAACTGACCTGTGAAGAACCGTCGGTCATTACCACCAGTATATTAGGCACGCCCTGCCTTGCACTGGCATCAAACAAGCTCGTCCGCACCACGTCCAATGCCCTTCCGGTGTAAGTGCTTCTACCAGGATATCGAATCCCGTTAATAGCTTTTAAGATTTGTGGAAGACTGAAATATGTTTCAAATCCAAAAATAACGTCTGCCTTTTGGGAAAATACAACAATTCCAACGTGCGTTCCATCTCTGGCAATGTTGAACCCTCTGATCAGCCTTTTGACGAAGCGGAGGCATCTTTTAAAATTCCCTTTGCCAAAGTATTCTATACTTCCTGATCCATCTACAAGAATGGCAAGGTCCACCTTGGCTTTACATACTACAAGGCAAGGAGACCATCAGTGGAAAAATGTTCAAATATCAAACTTTGCAATTGTTTGCGATGAATTTGGTGTTCTTGTTAAAGACAGTTGTTGAGAAACGTTATTGAGAAAGAGTAGCAATCCAAAACAGATGGTTATTTACTTAAATTTGGGCAAGAGCAGTCAGAAACCGAGCTCGTCTTATTGTCTCGGAATCTCCTCCTCGCGGTTTGAAGGTCCCGTTTCCGACCGGTTCATTGCATGACCAGTCACCCAAGGACGAACACATTTATTATGATGACATGAACATGATCGGTTGGTACACATCATAGACATCACCAAACAAGCTAATTAATTCAGTTGATTCCGTATAGAATTAACATCAACTACTCTAATATACTCCCCATAAAGTAAACTGGGAGACTTGTCCTGTCATGGTATTATCTGTACTTCAAAATAGCATGCAGTAAATCTCTTTTTGTTCACGAGAACGAGCGCTTTAAACTTACTTGAAATCGTAGGAACAGGCGCTCGAGCTATTTCAAACAAACAAGAAAGAAAAAACCATAAACTGATTAATACAGAAATTTAGTTTAAATCTCAGATAGTTTGATATAGAAATCCTTTGATATTCCATTAGTATAGGTAATAGCATGATTTGTGGTGATATTTGGCATAAATATCACGAGTGACATTTCAAAATTGTTATACGTAATTTCACGAGCCGTTAGGCGAGTGTAATTTGAGACAGTTTTGAAATATCACGAGTGGTATTTATGCCAAATATCACGTATAAATCATGCTATTATTTGTTTATACTACTACCCATAGAAGGTTTTGTAATTTTCACACGTAGGTATTTCAAATTAAGCTGAAGTACCACTGCTCTAAGCCAATCAAATTGCAGAAATTTCTCATGTAGTAGTATAACAACCGGAATGCCTGTCAAACCACCTCCCCTCTTCCGTGACACCTCTTGCTTTTCATTTTGCCCGCTTTTGGGAAGATAACTATGGTATCTTCCTTTGAAAACTTAAATGGTGCTCCTCATTCTTTATACAGTGAAATTTAGCAATAACATTGGCACAAGAGTCATTCAAACTGGTTTTTCCAGCTTCTCTTCTCATCTTCTGAAACTTTTTTTGATAAGACAGTGCCGGATCACCATTAGTATTATTTCTAAGTTTCACCAAGCTGATGATTTACTTTGTATGAAAAGTGTAGGGGGCGAGGCGGTCTCCAAAACAATCTTTCGGCCCTTCGGGCCTCAGTTTGGTCTAAAAATAAGGGGGGCGGGCCCCCCGGTCCCCTCCCCTGGATCCGCCACTGCCCTTAGAACAATGTCTGATGTCTAAAGTAGACCTTATTTCTCTTATATAACTTACGTGGAGGTTTGGTTGTTCCACCAGCACCTAAAACGGAAGACAGAAGACCACATTCTCATCAATATAAAATGAATAATCTTATAAACAATAACATTTTTTTGACTGGAAAATGAATAACAACAGATTTTTAAATAATAAACTTTTCACATTTAAAGAGGTAAAAGGCTTTTTGGACTAAAAGCAGATGACAAAATCAAGTGTCTAATTTACCCATGCAAGCTCTGTCCTTTATGGATTTAACGACTTCGTCTAGGTTATTGAAGGTCGCTTTATACACATGTTGTGAATCTGGGTCTGTTGCCATATCCCTCAACTGTCCTATGTCGTAACCATTACCAATCCCCACTGTAAATATGGTCACAGCAGAATCCCGCAATCTCTGTGCCGCGTCAGTCACAGGATCTTGTGATTGCCCATCGGTAAGAACGATCAGCATGTTAGGAATGCCTGGACGAGCACTTTTCCCAAAAAGGTTGTTTCTTGCTAATTCCAAGGCGCGGCCGATATTTGTACCCATTCTTGGATACTGAATGTTGTCTATTGCTGCTAAGGTGCTGCTTTCGTCATAGTGCTCATCAAAGCCAGAAACTACCTAAAAAGTGCAAAAAACGCGGCTTGCCGATCGTTTTTTTGGCCACAGAACCGGGCCTAACGAGGAATGTGAATGATTTGGTCAGGTAATGGAAACTGTTACAATATCGGACAAGCAGGAATAGCGGCTAGGCTTAGGCCAAAGATAAAAAACAATATTATCAAAATTGTATAATTAGCAATTAATGAATGAGGCTGAGTAGTATATGAAGAATTAAGCAGATCAAGGAGAGTGTTATCTACCGAGGCCGAAGGCCGAGGTGGATAACACCCTCCGAGATCTGCTTAATTCTTCATATCCTACGAAAGCCGAATTCATTAATTGCTTTATTATTCATTCAAAATAATTCCTAGTTTAAAAACATAGCTGAAACATGCTTACCTGCATCGATGTTAAGTTCATCTTCGATACTGTACGTCTAGGTATTGTCCAGCTCCGCAAATATTCTCCAAATAGCAGATGTCGCCCTCTGAGTTGTGTTCTTGCTGTTTTTGCCATGTTTTTAGTTATTATTTCGCCTAGTTCCAGCTGTAGTTCTTACTCTTGAAAACGAGTGAAATGTCCGCCATTTTTTTTTCACAACCAAAACAACTCAACCTCGTCCCCAGGTCTTCTCAGTTAACGGTGCCTTAACCTGCAGAAGGCTGCATTTTTGACGTGATTTCCTCGTTAAACACAGAATTCTTCCAAATTTGGTCATCAGTAACTGGTTATGGTGAATTATGCGTGTGCTTTTAGACAATCAGAATTGGGGAAATATTTTAGATGAATAATAATATTTTTTATGGTATTAAAATTAAAAAGCACATTATAACCAGTCTTTCGCTCACTTGCTGTAGATCCAGTACTGTACTTATGAATTCAATTATCAGAATACTATTCCCTTTAATAGCCTATTTTCTGCATAGGGTCCAAGGCTAAAGGAACTTTGCCAGTTCAAATTGACTAATAATACTGATACCAAGCTCATAATTACCAGACGAAAAAAAAAATTGCATACAAACCTTGGCATCGCTAGAAAAAATTATAATCCCAACGTGTGTGCCATCTCTGGAGACTTCGAATGCACTGACAATCTGCTTTACAAAGTTAAGTTCCCGCTTAAAGTTCCCAGGTCCCGTTTGTTCTATACTGCCAGAACCATCTATCAAAATTCCAAGATCTACTTTGGCTGTACAGACTAAAAAATGGTGAAAAATGTTAAATTACTATATTTGTTATATTTAACTGTTTTTAACATTCGAGAGGCTATTGTTGACTCAGATTCCTTTGGACGCTTTCGATTTGTCAGAACTGACCGGCCAAACCAATCACGTCGTAATGAGAATTTCACTTTTCATCAAAACTACCCAGCCCGATCAGTCAAGTCCCAAATAGTGTGCGCGAAGGAGATGGTTTTTCAGCAAAAACTCTTGAAAAAAGCCGATTTCATTTGCTAACTGACTTGTCCGGCCGGCCAGTTCTGACAAATGGAAAGAGCCCTTAGACCCTACATGAACCTAATATGTTAGTTTTGTATAGAACTGAAATTTTCGTCATATAGTCTGGGCCAAGATAGTACTAGAAGAGAAACCACTGACTGTGATTAATATTCATATGCACTTTTTGATTAGGTCATATGGTTTTGAAACTACTCACCGATAATTTCATTTCAGCCTACAAACAGTAAGTCAGTACCCTAAAATGTGATGTTTGTATCAAGTCTGGGTATATTTTATTTCATTTAATATGTTAAATATTATTTCATTCCACGGAGATGAAAGTTGCTTTCCCTGATTTATTTTAGAAAGAACCAGTGACAGTGGTTTTTACTTGTCCAGAAGGATATGCTTGTCTTTGAGTGTGTGTCCGGCAATAAATTTGTTAGGTAGGATGATTCTGCTCCATATGGAAAATCTTTAAAACAAGAAATAACTGGCGGAAAGGGGGATTTTAACGGATTTGGACATACTGGTCAGCCAAAACTCACAGTTTCAGAACTGAATAGATGAACTCTAATTTCAATTTTTCTTTCGAAACAAAAGAATTACAGATACAGTTTACCAGAGGAAGGTGTTGAAGGCGTGGTCAGGGCTATCAATGCTGCAGCAGGTGGCTGTAGGGCTAAAATAAATTTTTAGTTTAGTAAATTTTAAGTCCGTTTATCCTTAAGGTCTCCCTCTAATTATTCCAATTTCTCTGAGCCAGTGATGAGTCGCATGCATGTTTCTTAAAAACCGCGAGAATCTTAATTATGTAATTGCACGACCCAGACCAGGTACTACAAACTGCATACAGATTATGTACGTGACTGAGCTGACCATGATGCTTGAACAAATGGCGGTCTCTACCCTAGTCTAGTACAGAACGTACAGTTTCCTTAACTATGTGCTAGGTCACAAAGGTTTATTTGTCAAAACAATGATTCGTTGTTGACGATAAACATGCTGTCCCCATACGACCCCATTGGTTGCAAGTTATTATCGTTTTAAGAAAATTTTGTCAAATGTAACTTCAAGTTCTGATGTTATTGCTTCATTCTCAGAGGCAGTAACCCTGTTTTCCTTAACTTAAAAATGCGTTTCACTGTCTGATATTACTGATCTCAAATCACGTCCTGATTAATACAACTGATACTACTAAGTAATATCGGAAGTGAGAGCTTTTCATGATTTAAGGAATCCAAAGCAACTGCATTGGCCCCTCTTGAGTTCTCACGTAATCTGGCAACCAAACGTTTACAGCGCTCTTATTTTCGCAGGCCACAACGCAACGCCTCTTTATTAACCGCTACTATTTTACTTACTTGCTGGGGTGGGCCTCGGAGTTGATTGAATCGGTGGCTGAGTCGTTGGCTGGGTCATTGGACTAGTTGGCCGAGTCGTTGGCTGGGTCATTGGACTAGTTGGCTGAGTCGTTGGCTGTGTGGTTGGCGGAGTCGTGGGGACTTTTGAAAACACACAAGAACATGGGCACTTTTAAGGCTCCAATTTTTTTAAACTGCCGCAAAACAACTCCTTTAACTCCAACACTAAAGCTATTGCTTTTAGTTTGGAGCCTCGTATAACAATGGTCGTTATAATCAACCTTTTGCAAGTGTTACAGCAAAAAGACAAACCCATCCCAACAACCCATTCCATATCACCGAATGTTAGCTCAACTGGTTTAGTACTACGATTTGGGAGTGGTAGCCTCGGGTTCGATTCCCGGCCGGACCATCATACAGGATCTTAAAAAAATACGTGGAAAGAAAATGCTTCCCCGCTTTGCTCTGACACTTGCAAATGGATAAACTTTCTGATCTTCTCAGATGACTATAAACGATAGGCGCTATATCACAGCACTCTACTGATCTGACTCTTGTGGGATGCCGTAACAAATAACTACCAGAGGCGTAACAATCTTTGGCAATGCAACTCCAAGTGTATGTCCTTCACGGGTTGTGGGATTGGGTACGTACGATGAGGGGCACCTCACACGAGACCTATTCGATTGACCAGTTCGTACCCATTCATACTGGGAACGTCTAAATGTAGAAGAGTTTGAAAAGCCGGTTATACCAACTACATATCTCACATCAATAAGAACACAACTCATCTTGGACCCAATGTCCATTATCTGTTGATTGACACCGACAAAATCAATTGGCATAAACGCCGCCGTATCATTTATAAATTGATTGTTATACCAAATAACGGAAGAAAGTTTTACGCCTTACCAGGACAAATCTGCACTCCACATGGGCGAGCCTCGATGGTTGTAGTTCCGCAACCTGGCGTGATGTAAGTGACCTGTGACGTAAAACACGTGCGATTGCGCGTTTGCATCGCAGTGTTGTTACCATTGCTACAAGTATGTGAGCATGGTGACCAGGAAGACCAGGGATTGTAACTAGCATTCACTAATGGCTCGCTATTATTTCCTAGGAAACTGCAATGTAAAAAATACAAGGCAATCGCCGAATACATAAACTAGACTTCAAGAAATAACCATTATTACCTACCTATACACCTCGTTGCTCCACTGTCCACCTTCTCCATCTCCTAAACAAGCATTTTACAAAAATAATCTATTAGCCATGACTTAAACTAAAGGATAAGAATAGCTGATGATATTGTATCAGCTATAATCAAATCCTAATTTATTATGATTATAGAGCGTTAATTTATTTGGAATTTGATAGAAAAGTGGGTGTTTGAAGTTCCTTTATTGACCATTAATACTTGACTATCTGCTGATTGTACGCTTATGTGCAGGTAGTGCTTTTTCGTATTTTTTTTTTCAAGTTAGTTGTCATATTATTATTGTTGAGTAAACTTTAGAAAAGTATTGAACTATCTATTAATACGTTTGGTTTTGATATTGTACACAAAACAAAGTTTTAGTGGTCGTGTGGGCGATGAGGAGTCCTGGGTGTGAGGAATTATTACTTGCTCCCGAAGAGAGGGGGAGAATAGACCGCCAAGTTAAGGAAAAAATTACCAATACCCGGTGGTATACCCGCGGGGTACCAGGTTATTGGTTCACAGGTGAAATGGAACCATGCTTTAATCGTACAAGGCCGAATACAGCCTAAATATACCACAATAAAATCTTACATGTTTCAGTCCTTAAAACACTCTACATTATGTTTATTTACCACAGCAGCCTGTACTTGGTCCATATTTCCTGAAGGAAGTCTCTGCGTTTTTATCTCCAAAGCACTGTCCCCCGTTTTGTAATGCAAACATGTCAAGCTTTTTCTCAAGGGATACCTCAGCACATTTCATGAGCGCGTTTACTCGGGATCTGTAATCCAGGTCTTTAAGTAGTGGGTGTTGTCCCTCCAGTGGTTTTATTGCTCGAACTGATGTGTCGCTCCAGCAACCGACGCTTTTAAAAACTGCCGAAATGTAAGACAAATTGATCTTCAACATGAAAGTGAACATGATCTTCGCAGTAGAATGAACAACCTAAGCGGATGAAAAACTACATGTACTCGGTAGAAAAAAAAAAAGAAAGGCAAAGAAATTGACTGCACTATGATTTTATGCCCAAGTAACGTGTGTGAGATTTTTAGGGTTTAAGCCTCTTGTAAACATCTCTGCAACAGCGCGCTAGCTTCAAAGAGCTCTGTGAAACAGACAATATTTACAAGTTGACAAAAACTAGCCTCCTCCACAGGCTTCACTGCCCTGTTTTAGAGAACGAGTGGGAGAATGGGGAGAGAACGAGGAGTGACCACTAGTGATGCCTGCCAAATATCGACAATGTGATCGTCTGCGCATGTCGCGCACACAAATCCAATTTGTGTACGGGATAGTAGGGGAATTTTGAGAGACCAATAGCCGTTTATCGGGACCTGCAATAGTTAGTTAGTTTTGCGAAAGGAAAAAAACGTGAGAAAAACTTATCCAGGATATTCCCTCATCTGAATCCTCCAGGACCAGCAAAAACGTATTTATATTTTTGTTACCAGTAAAAATTTCAGGAATTTTTTTAATAAGTCTCCAATCAACGCACATGTAAATGTATGTCACGGTGTTGATGCTGCGGGCGAACGATTTTTTTCTACTCTTAAAATAGTCAGAAAATTTTACCACAGCCTCCAATTTATATAAGCTTAAGCTCATGTGTGTTGATGTCTGTGCGATCGAATTATGCAAAACCAAAAACTAAACTTAACAACATTTAAAACTTATATGATCACTTTCTTCAGTATTAAGACAGACTTATGTGTCTTGGTAATCACTATCATTTTTTGTGTCAAACAAGGATAAAAGAATCAGCAAACTTGAGATTTTCTGAGTCGGCAAATGATTAATTTAAGCTTAATTCAGTCGAGCGGGATAAAATCTGCACGGTATGGACGCTTTTTGAACAGTCATATTTAAAGATACGAATCTTATGGCCGGTTAAATTGAGTTTGAATAATAGAAGGCGATGTCGAAACAAAGAAATGAAAAACGAGGATAACCGAAGGCTGCATGGTAAGTCGTGTTTTTTATTCAAACTTGTATTAAAAGCTGAATGAAATCATTGACAACAAACTTTTGAGAAAAGTAGAACTAGTGAGGCAAAATTCTGAATGAAAAAAGACAGAATCTAGATTCAGACAACAAACATAGAAGACGGAATAACAAACAGAGCAAAAATTTTGAATAAACAGTGCATAAAAGCAAGATTGCAGTAGTAATAGCGCGTTCGCTTGTCTCCATGTCGGAATGTTAGAATGACAAAAAATTTTCTTAAGGGACTGGACTTGTAATAATTGTCTGACGAAAGCCCCCCTGGGAGCCTGGGTCCAGTTACTGGTCCACAAGGATGAAGGACGTGGCCCACACTCTTCGATTTTTGGCAGGCAACTCCACAACATTTTTTTTCCTTTTCTCAGCCTCAGACCCCTCACGGTCACTGTAACCAGAGTTGCCAGCGGAGGAGGCTAGGCAAAAACTACCTGTTTTTACTTTCGTTGTGGGCTTCAGTTAGCTCTTGTACATATATGTGGTCACAAAGGTTGCAGGTTCTTATTAAGCTACTGTAATTATCTCAAATAACTATTTGCAACCCCGATATTTAGATCTATCTTCAACGCTTTTACTGTAACATTCACAATTCTGGATTCTTGTAACTTGATCAATTCCAGATAAGATAGCTTACATTTTCCTTTAATTTCAAACTTCTCCGTCCGATCTTTCCTAGGTGAACCAGAATTGGAGCAGTGGTAATGGATACTCTGTCCAGCAGGGGCGGGGTGGGTCGCTGGGGACACTGCCGGGGTTTCGGCGGGATATCCTCCTGGATATCCCGCATCTGGTGAATAAGGATACGAGTACGGTGGGGGATAAGGGCTCGGATATGGATAGCCATTGTTAGTTGGGTAAGAAGAAGGGTAGGGCGATTGGTAAGGACTTGGGTTGTAATATGAAACCGCGTATTTCTTAGACTTGGACAAAGAAAGGGTTGGTGACTTCAATGCTCTCAGGAAAGAAGAGGTGTACTTCGCTTGCTGATGTTTGCGTGCTTTGCTGTCTGTTGAAACAAAGGTTTAAAAAAAATACAAAAATATGATATTTGCGAAGACCAAAATTTTATTAGCTTTAGCAGATACTTTCGCTAATAATAGTGTCAAATACTTTTAATTAATTATCGTCTTCGTTCAAGGGGATTTTCAGACATCAAACTAAACAAACAATTCAAATTAGACGTAACAAGTTAAGAATTCCAACTAACAAGAGGTGATCCAGTTAGCTATAAATTTTACAGGCGTGTCTCCCAGGTCGGGCCTCCCGGGGAGAAACAACCCTAGTTAGCGGCCAGAGCGAGGATTTGAACTCAGACCAAAGTTAACGCCCTGAAGAACTCAATTTCGCGAATTTCGCGAACTTTTTATGTACCGAACTAAAAATACCTGTTTAGGTCGACCTAAAAGATACAAGTTCGGCGGTTGATTCAGACGTCGAACTCAATTAGTCGTCCTGACTCAATTTATTTTCATGACGTACAATGGTCTACAATGCTGGTCAGTGAAATTTAATTATAGTAATTTATACATTAGGTTCGGCACATGAGAAGTTTGACGTTTGAAAAGAAGACGCTCCACAGTCGAAATTCCTATGTGGGCCACTCGATCATAATTGATGGGTCGATCTTTTTATGTACACAATTGAAGGGATTAGGTTGGGTACATGAAAAGTTCGACGTTTGAACTGGACCTAAAGTAGCACTGATGTGTAATACATCGTTGAAAAAACGTAAGCTTTCTACAAACATTTTCCCGCAGGCAAAAGAGGATGGCACGATTTAAGGTGGCGAGAAAAGGATAGGTTACAGCATTGGCACTATAGTGCAATTTTATATTGAATTGTTATTAACTATAAATTATAGTGATTCCCACCTTCATTATGAGAATTCGTGGTCCTTCTCTTCAAAGCAGAATCAGCCATTTGTCCTTCTCTGATCAAGAATACCATCACAAGATACAAACAGACTCCCATGTTGTTTTCAAAGAACATGGTGCTTGATATTTCCACCTGCGAGAAAGATTATATCGACTTAAAACTGGGAATCTAATATTCAACCCGTTGTCTTCAAACTAAATTGGCTAAATTAAATCGCCGGATAACGTTACTTAGATATTAGTTTAAAAACCTGGCGTCGTTTGTTAAAACCTCCTCTTTTTTTCGTACTATGTATGTCGAGATTTGTTGGCTTTCTTTTCCTATGTATTACCTTGTTTGCCTTCCTTTAATGTCACGGTGTCCTCTTATCCAGAATATCCAAACTATGTTAAGCTACAATCTGATACACAAAGGCTCTCGACTTGAAAAAGTAACTTTGAGAAGTAATAGTTTTCTTTCAGTTTTCACTATTGTAAAGAGCAGGTTAAGGTAAACAGATACTATGGAGGGGCGTGGAACGTACCTCATTAATTTTTAGCAAGCGAAGATCTCTCGATTTCATTAGATAGATGAAATTAGCAAAAGTTAAAACATTTTCTCCAAAAATGTGGGGTCGGAAACGAGGTGAAATACCAAGAAACATTAAATCTAGTCCAAAAATTTTAATCGTGAGGCAAAGCTTTGATCGAGGACCTTTAACCGATTCTCAGTAGTACGACATATTCGAGCACTGAAACTATACAGTGTCTGCAAAAAAAACATTTTCCTATAACGGCCTATCTCACACGGTATAAGTCCACCACATTTTAACAGAAAAAATCAACCGTTGACATAAAACGGTGTAGTATTCAACTTACCAAAATTCAGAGAACTAAAATAGTGCCATTTCAAGCAAAGTCAATTGATGCTGCTCAGTGATTCCTACCTGCTGGCCTCAATTCACAACGGTGGCTTAAAAGGATTTTTTTTCTTCTTCCCTGTCTAACGCTGAATAAAACGTTCCCTGGGCATTTGCAGGTGCACTCTGATACGTTGACATTTCTACACCTGCTGGAAAGATATGGTATGGTAACACATGGCAGTACAACATAGATTAGGTCAAGCCTAAAAGCGGAGCATCCATTGAAAACTAACCGTTTATAGGCAATACAATCGAACCAGATGTCTCAGTTTACCTAAAAAGAAAATACCGTGAAATTCCACGTTAAAGCCTCCGGGTTTTAAGCCCCCTCAGGATATAAGCCCGTCCATTAGCTAACGAAGATGTTATTCCGGATATAAGCCCACCCGTTTATAAGCCCATCTAATGTCTAAGTGTGTTCCTTTTGCGTTTCTTTACAAACTTCAGAGTTTTTAATCTAAAGTTATAGGCATAAACAAGTAGCTGTGGAGTTAAGAGCAACAATTAAAATGATACCGAAGAAAGAAACAAATGTTCATGCATCTATAACAACGCTACGAGTTCTGTCCCACTGTTCATTTCCAAAACAACTATATAACAAATATGAACTTTATTAATGCCACCAGGAAGACAGTTTCACGGCAAACACTACGGGCAAATTGATAACGTTAAGGCTTGTAGTTTTTTGACTTTCGTTGAATTCCTTTCCCAGTTGTTCCAGTCGCATAAGTGTTTTACAGATGTTTTTGAAATACATTCTCCGTTTATTGTGACGCACAATAAATGTATGATAAAGCGTTACTCTAAATGTAATGGTATGCATTTTGTCTCAGGTAAGTCTTATCTCGTCGTTCCGAAACATGTTTTTTTATTCTGCTTATATGCCCCCCGGATATAGGCCCCCCCGTGTACAAGCCCACCCAAAACCCCTTATGAAGTTATAGAAGCCCAGGGCTTCAACGTGGGATTTTACGGTAAGCCCACATTCCAATAATTTGTTTATCAGCCGTTGGGCAGCTGATAGCTGATGAAGAAGTATGACCGAGACCTCGATGGGTTGTCACCTAAGCAGAGACGCTGTCACGCGATACCAGCCATCAGATGACCAATTATGAATTTGATATGTATGGCGTGTATTACTATACGAACGACTGCATCGCTTCCTCAGGAACGTCAATATGTAAGCCGTACGTACGTATGTACTCCGTGCAGTGACATTAAAAACTAGAACAGTAATGTATGCAAGCATTGATTTAATTAACCTACGGCCAAGCAAACAAATCTTACAACCGACTGAAAATTGGTAAATACTTCCACGCCCATGCGAATCGCACAAAAACACGCACACGCGCGCAAAATAAACTCATGGTGTAATTTCAAATCCACACTTCAAGGACCATTTAGGCCCTTAGTAGGCTATTCAAGCTTTCAAAGTTCAAGAGTTCAATGTTAGAGCGCACCAAGAAGCGTGGTCAATAGCTGTGGACAAGTTATGAGGACCCTTATTAATTACCTAATCTGAAACGCTTTACTTTGTAAAGTAAGGGCTAAAATACCTCCAGTTATCTAGAAAGAAATTTCGGTCATTTGTCAGTAGAACGTCCTCGGTAGTATAGTGGTGAGTATCCCCGCCTGTCACGCGGGAGACCGGGGTTCGATTCCCCGCCGGGGAGATATATTTTTCTTATTTTAACTCACTGGAGGTTCTTATTTTCTTTCACTCAGCACAAGAGAAAAATAAGTTTCATCTTTACATGTTGAACTGAGCACCCTTACGCTTGCGCTTGTGCTTACTACCAGACATTTAGCAACACATCGATTAGCTGATTGATTGGTCGATTGACTGACCGATTGATTGATTGATTGATTGATTGATAAATTGATTGATTAGTTGATCGACTAATCGACTGATTGTAATTGATTGATTGATTGATTAATTAATTCGCTGATCGACTGGTTAATTCATTGACTGATTAGTTGATCGAATGATTGATTGATTGACTGATTGATTGATTGATTGAGTGAGTGAGTGAGTGAGTGAGTGAGTGAGTGAGTGGGTGAGTGAGTGAGTGGGTGAGTGAGTGAGTTACTGATGTATTAGATCGATTGATTTATTGTTCGATTGATCGATTCCTTGATTTATTGGAGGATTGTTTCGTCGATTGGAGTTCAATGTATTAATCGATCAAGTGTGTTTTCTTCTTCTTTAACTCTTTTGGCAAAGCCAAGTCCATGTAAGTGAGATGAGTATAAACATGTATCAATTTCTTCATAGTTATTACAATTTGTTAGTTTCGGTCAGGATCTGAACAAGTAAAGGTAGCCGGATTTGCTATAGCATTGCAGCACTTGTTATGTGGTTAATTATTTAGCAACCCATCGATCATTGTTTAACCCAGTTACCCCAACATCCCTTGAACATATATACAACAAAAGGGCAAATTTCACCGCCTCGTTCGCCAACAAACGTTTCCGCATCAGTGCAGGGGTATTTTTTTCAACTCTTATAATAACTACTGCCGTGGGAATTCATTTAAGTAAAAGTTCGCAATTTACGCTGATTTCAAAACAAGGCTTGGGTTAGATGTTCGTTCATCGCTTTCATGTATTAGGACTATTGATTCTCCGATGACGATGCAATTTTAATTTCTTTTCAATAACCTTTATCCCATGTTATACCAAGTCCTCGGTAGTATAGTGGTGAGTATCCCCGCCTGTCACGCGGGAGACCGGGGTTCGATTCCCCGCCGGGGAGTGTTGTACTTTTTTATAATTTCATTATTCATGGTACACGATTTTATTTTCTACTTATTAGCCTGAGCCAAATTTGGCTCATTAATTGTACGCCTTATTTCGGGAACGTTTACATCGTCTTTTATTATATAAACACCAATGAAATACCAGGTGAGCTTTCACATGTTATCTTCACGCTAATGTACTGACGAAATAAAGCAACTGGACATTTTCCTTCCCCGGTCTGAAACATTTTGGGCTGGAACTGTCTTGGCTTTGCACTCAAACCTCCAGGTCTTGTTTTCGTAGGCCCTTCTGCAAACTCAACAAATTCGAGGCCGTCGTCACCTTTCATGATCCTGAAATCCGCCAGTCTCATTCCGTGGTGTTCTTGCCTTTCACGGAGACCAAAGTGTTGGGTAAGGAGCCACCACATTGTTTGAATTAAAGATTCTGGGTTATTACCTCCGAGTTTTCCGCTCTTCCAGAGAATTTCTTCTTCCTCCTCTGATACTTGTCGAGCTTTGTTTGGGCGCTTACCACGGCCAGCCAAGCGAAGCTATTTCGCTTTGCCTTCCAACACCTGTTTGGACGAACTAAATTCTCGTTCACGTACAATGGACAGGGTGTAGCTTTTGTTCTTTAATTGTCTGTCAAGCGATGCCATCGTTACTTTAAGGCTTTCTGGTTCATAATCTTCACCTTGTTTACTTTTTACTTCGGCGTAGAAATGCGCGAGCAAACTGTTAAGCTCAGCCGGCTCATAATTTTCTATTTTATCTGTAATTTTCTTCTCTAAGCACCACCTCTTCCAAACAGAGAGCCAAAAATCGGTGCTTTTTGCAGTGTTTTCGTTTTTGGAGCAGTTTTTCAGCTCCTCTATAGTTGTTGCGGTCGCAAAAGCAAATCTGCTACAAACGCCAGCCATTGCGGTTTTTGCTCGAAACTGGTCCAGAGCGGATCCAAATTTTGCGCCATTCAGATGGCGCACTTGATTGGCTCTCAGTGAGTTCCTTTATTTATTAACCAATCAGAATGCCTCTTTTGTTACCTTTTTTCTGCACCGTGTTACCAAGAAACTGCATTTCTCTTAGCCAATCACAATCGAGAAATTTTTTCATGTATATTATTATGTTTGTTAAAACGTGTTTTGCTGTGCAAAAAGGTGACTATAAATCCTGCTCCCCCTCCGCCAAAAAAGGGAAAGGTTGTCGAAAATAACCAGCCCGTAAATTCCCCGCTTGTCTTTCCCTTCCGAACACCTACCATGCAAGCTACAAAATAACTTACTGTATTTTATACATGATAATAATAACTCAAACTAAAAAAATAGAACTGCGCGCCCGATATGGGACTTGAACCCATGACCCTCAGATTAAAAGTCTGATGCTCTACCGACTGAGCTAACCGGGCTCACGCAGCTTTTTCTGTAAAATGAGGATACATGTAAAATAAGGATACAAACAACGAAGGAGAGAAAATGCTTTGTTATTCCTTTTCTGAACAACCCTTAAGAGAAACCTTAATCATACTTGAGCGGTTGCCAAGAATATGAAGGATATGAAGTTATTGTTTTCGTCCATTTCATACAATATCAAAAATGGACAGTTTGCTCTGCATCCTGAAAAAGTCAGTTGATTTTCTTAGTTTAGTCAATTGTTTTTCTTCGTTTGACCTTGACCGCTTTAGATAGAAGTCGGTTTAGTAGGGGGCAAGTTTGAACGCCCCACCACCACCACCAACAACATCCAACACAATCATCATCAGAAAATATCGTTGCCATTTTCTTAGATATCATTTTCAAATTTGGCACGTTCACTAATTTGAAGGCGCTTTTTTAGCAGTAGATCAATAGAGGTTAGCTAACTCAGCCAAGTTACAATGTGAAAAAAAATGCCCCAGGCGTCCGTCTAGCCATAGCAGGTACCAGCCCATGGAACATGTACCTCGCCTACCACCCGCTACAATTTTACCCTTTAATATCGTTTGTCGTCAGAGGGAACTCGAAAGATTCTTTCTCCGATCTAAGTTTATAATTAACACAAGCTCAAAATATTCAAATTAACTTTCTTACTAAGAAAAACCATAAAAGGTTAGAACTGCAAAGCCCGTGGAACTCAAAACGCATACGCTTAGATTACAAGCAAGCATGCGAACCGCTTTGAGAGGCCTCCTAAACACTATTTGTGTCCTAGTGGTTTGAATACAGATTTCCTAGTCCAAAGGAGACGAATTCATTCATCTAATGTACCACATTTCAACATTGTATATTCATCAGGGCTCTTCTCTTTTCTTTTGTCAAACCAGGAGATTTTTTCTAATGAATCTAGTTATCCTGGTTATAATATTTTTAACAGGTGCATTGAAACAATTGAGTCCTGTTGGCTCAAAAGCATCAACAAAATTTATTTAGACTGGTAATAAAACGACGCACTGAAATCTCCTAAAAAATTGTTCGGAGGGGTGACAGTCGATAAAATTTACCATTTGTAGCTTCTAAAACTTTTGAAAGCGATGATAACCTGTGCTTTCTTCCTCACATTGCTAGTAATTACAGTTTTTGGCGGCAAAATTGAAGAGGAGGGCGCAAATGTGCACAAATCTAAAGAAAGCGCCATTCGCAACTGTACTTTGAAAAAATTAAGAGAATCAGGCAGTAATAACATTATTCAGGTAGAAGAAACCTCAGACTCAAGAAGAAGGTTTTCGAATTTAAGATTCATCAAGCACAATTACTTTTTAGAGAAAAGTCATCATGATCAAACAGCAAGGCCTCCTGGATGTCCTCCATGCCGTAAGTTCTCACTATGCTTCTCGTTTACACTCCGGCCTTATCCTAAACACGCGAAACTGTATGTGTCGAAGTGCCAATCGTGAGAGCTAGGAGATGAGATCATTATATTTGCTTGGACTCAGCAGTGAGACTTCATTACTTTATATCATCTACAATTTCTCGTAGAGTATATTGCAAGGAATCTTCTCTTGCAATTCTTATCGACAAGTTTGTTTTTGCTCTCTTTTGACGGATTGATTGGTCGATTGACTGATTGATTGATTAATTGATTGATTGAATGATTATTATTTCTTCTTCTTAGCTCTTTTAGGAAAGCCAAGTCCATGTAAGTAAGATAAGTATACACGTATTTATTTTGTTTTCAAATATTCATTTTGTTAGATTCGGTCAGGATCTGAAGGAGTAAAGGTCACCAGATACACTATAGTGTGTGGTTGATTGTTAGAGTTTGACGTTACATTTTCAGAGTGGTATATTTTGACATTTTGTTTGTTTTCAGTTTGCAATGCTGATATGGACCTGGGATTTGTGGTTGAAGCCTCAGCTAGCGTGGAAAGACACGGGCAAGGAAATTTTAAAAGGATTCTTGACTTTGTGGAATGGACTGTACGGAAATTTTCCATTTCACCAACCAAAACGCGCGTTGGTTTGGTAACCTACGGTGCCAAAACTGATTTAGTATTTGATTTTCAGAGGTAAATATTAATTTATTAAATAAAAATTGTTTGGGTTTAGTTCAATCTTTGTTCCCAATTGGTAACTCAGCTACAAATTCTTATCTGGCACGAAAAGGCATATTTAATTTTTGCGGTATGATGGGTAATAAACACATCTGTTCGCCTCCAACCGATATATTAAAAGTCGGTACTAATCGGGTAGACTTGCTTCCAGTCGACCTCAAGAGTTCTTTGCAAGCGAAGCGAGCTTTTGAGGCCGCGAAGCGACGAAGTCACGAGAGGTCTTCGTCCCGCGCCATATTAAATCGGACGAAGGACTTTTATGAAAGTCTACCAATCGGGCCAAGTTCCCTCCACTTCATATCAGTAGCAAAAAGGTTCTATAAACCCACGTTAGATACCCTTTATTTACAGATTAATGAAAAAACTGAGAGGGAGGCAGCGTGTCTGAGCGTTGGACTCGCAATCCGGAGGTCACGAGTTCCTGCAGTCCTGCGCATGTTCGTCTGATCAATAGGTGGATTCTGGCGGAGATTTGTCTCTTTTGGCATTTTATACAAAAGCATTTATCGATAACATTTACCATTCACATGGCAATAAGTGTACTTCAGGGCTAGGTACAGCTCTTTGCATGGATTTACAATTACACCACTTAACTCAAGTAAAAATATACTCTGAAGGTGGTTGGTGTACTCATATTTGGCGGCTTTGTATCGTATTTTCAGCCCACAGAGGAAATCTGCTATTGTGCGCGCTCTGCGGAAAGCTTCAAAGCAAAGTTTAACGAGCTCTAATACTGGTTATGCTCTCAGTATGGCAGGATACTATTTATTTGGCAGGAAAACGTCGAGTCTGGTTTCTCGTAAGGATGTGCCTAAAATTCTGATTGTAATCACCGATGGAAGGTGGGTCTCATATATCGTAGTTACTTTCTGTATTTCGTTGTTTAATAACTAGAATTGCATTTACATGCACGCGCATTTATTTGATGCATTTACTCGGTTGCGTCGATTGGCCTTGACATCGAAAAGTACCTACATCTACAGCTCGAAACAGAACTAATTAGAAGAGCCTAAGATAAGTTGAAAGGAAGCTAATGTATCAGAAAAAGATCGTGTCTAACTAATAAACCATTGTATGGGATATGTTCAAATAACGAATATTTGCCTTCATTGCATGACCTGCAGAATTTAAAAGAACTTTTACCTTGAAACGAGGTATAGAAACCTAATCGTTATGAAGACAAAAGAATAACAAATCAAAATCTGCCACCATTTTGGAATAAGGTCTATTCTCTTTATCGCTAAACTAGTCCATTGCTTTGCATCTTAGATCTACCGACAGCGTGACTAAGCCTGCGTTCAAAATTAAACGATATGGCGTACGGATTTACAGCGTCGGGGTTGGACGTTACTTTGATATCAGACAGTTAGAGACCATGGCTTCGAGACCAGTCAGCGACAATGTGTTTATTGGTCCGTTTAACAAGTTACAGTATATCAGAGATGGCTTAGTAAGAAGTGTATGCTATGGTAGGTATGCATGTATCTAAACTGTGTATTTTTTAAAAAATATGGTAATGATTCGAAAAACCGACTGTTGTAGTCCACACAAACTGGGGGCACTTTGGGGATATATTCGCCTGTTACCTTTAGAACACCAAGCAACGGCTAGCTCATACACTTACATTATAAAATTGTACCTATAAAAAGCGGAAAATTTAGCTCGGGACCTGAAACTTGATGGATTCTCTCACGGTGTTCTAGCAAGGCAAGCTGTAGCTATAAACGATGAAGTTGCTGGATACAACGTGAAAACTAACAAAACCACGACAACGTACGCAACCATCGGAAGACTATCACACCAATGTAAAGAAACACTTCTCCCAGATTGATTAGTCTCTGTGTGACTGGCCCCCACAACAATCGTTTCACAATTTTGCTGAATTTAAGAGGATGATTACTGAACAACCACAGAAGACGCTGCAGTTTTAGATTATTTTGTAGCTTTCCGTCTTCTTGATAAGTATTTGGGTTCAATTTTGCAATGACCTTTATGGAAATACATGCAGGTCCTCTTTAAGCAACACCTAGTCGCTTTCATAATTTTTGGTTTTTATTTTCTTAATGTGCATTTGCAGGAGTCGGTGGGTTTTTAAATAAACCTGGAAATAGACAATGCCTCTGCAAACATGGAAGTAAACGGCCCAGTTAGTATTGTTATTTTGTTTATATATAAAAATCAATATAAATATGTATTGGTCCACTTCAGTCATTTCTTTATGTCACCGCTAATAACACAATATAACCGCCATTGTTATATAGCTGGAAATGTTTTCTCAACAACGCGCGCTCTCATTGGTTACTTCAAGGTTAAGGTGGCTCCGTAATTAATATCAGAGCATTTTGCTGTGACAAATTTTCCGTCATAACTTTTTCGATTTTAACGCGATGGCTGCGAAACTTTGCAAAGAACAACAGATGTCCTTCGGCAATAATACGAAATATTCTGATTTCATTGATGGTAAATATTTCTTGAGAAATTAGCGCTTAAAAGGACCCTACTGTTCAAAGAAAATCGCGTCTAGCAAAAAATTTTGCTGATGTTTTTTAGTGAAATTTCTGGTATCGCCTTCAATTGATATAATAAATATGCCAGAGGAATTTCAGAAAAATCGTTGGAGCAGAAGTCCGTAACTAAAAGTCGCTCAAAATTCAGCTGTGAAATTGTTTTGGAATTGCAAAAATAAATTACTATCAGGTAGAAGGAGCCACCAGTTTGAATTTTCGGCACAAGTAAATTCAACGTTTGCTAATTCTTAAAACAAAAGCCGATTTCCTATCGTACTATTCTTTAAAAGGTACTTTTTAGTTTTAGAAGCACTATAAATTGCTCCAAACCTTCCTCTGAAGTAGAATTTCTTGTTCTTCGACAGTTTTAAAATATCCCTTGGCAATTTTGGCTCAAACTCCTGCTGCATACATTTTGATGTATTGCAATGCATTTTCAACGACTTCTACTGCTGTTCGTTGCTTCCAACTTAGGAAAAAAGTATTGAGATTGGACGCTTCCTCTTATCAGAACTCAGACAGAACTGTCCAGCACCTTTGTTTATGACTACAAAATGAGCACGAGCGGCAGTTCTGCGAGGAATTCGCACCACACCCAGGGGGGACGAACGACAATGATGACTATGCCTGTGAACCGAATAACAACACAGTGCAAAATAAAATTATCGCAAAAATACTGCCCGTGAATAAATTTACAACTCTGAAATTTTTGTCACTCCTTCCTTCAATGAATGGGTATTTTTTTTCTTGTTATTATGTTTTGCTCTGCAATACATGTTTAAAACAGATCGGTTCACAGACATGGGCATCATTGTCATTCGTCCCCCCTGGCTGAGGTGCAAATTCCTCGCAGAATTGCCGCTCGTGCTCATTTTCTGGTCATAAACAAAGGTGCTCGACAGTTCTATCTGAGCTTCGATACAAGGTAGCTTACAATCCCAATACCTTTTTCCTGAATTGGAAACAACGCACAGCAGGAAAAGCCGTTGAGAATGCATTGCAGTACATCAAAATGTATGTAGCAGGAGTTTGTACCAAAACTGCCAAGGGATATTTTAAAAATGTCGAGGAACAATTCATTCGACGTCAGAGCAAAGTTTGGAGCAATTTATAGTGCTTCTAAAACTGAAAAGTACCTGCTAAAGAATAGCACCATAGGCAATCGGCTTCTGTTTTCAGAATTAGCAAACACTGAATTTACCTGTCCCGAAAATTGAAACTGGTGTCTCCTTCTTCCTGATAGCAATTTATTTTTGAAATTCCAAAACAATTTCACAGCTGAATTTTGAGCGACTTTTAGTTACGGACTTCTGCTCCAACAATTTTTCTGAAATTCCTCTGGCATATTTATTATATCAATTAAAGCCGATACCAGAAATTTCAGTAAAGAATATCAGCAAAATTTTTTACTAGACGCGATTTTCTTTGAACATTAGGGTCCTTTTAAACGCAAATTTCTCAAGAAATATTTACCATCAATGAAATCGGAATACTTCGTATTATTGCCGAATGATATCTGTTGTTCTTTGCAAAGTTTCGCAGCCATCGCGTTAAAATCGAAAAAGTTATGACGGAAAATTTGTCACAGCTAAATGCTCTTGTATTCATTACGGAGCCACCTTAAATGACATCTAACAATGAAACTATTTCCCGCCAAAATCTCTGAGCGGGCAACATTGCAAAAATCTATGACGTCAGAAGGGTAAAATTGCACTGTTACTCGCGAATGTTGGCCAACGTTCGCTTCCAGCTTTATTACAGAGGTCAAATCGAATCTCAATTATATTGAGATTCTCGGGAAACAAAATTAACTGTTTCACGAGCCAACAGTCATTAAGTGTTTAATAGTCTGGTTGAAAATGAACACATTAATTTTTTCTTCCGTGATCACTTTCTATATTCTCCTGCCTTTTATCAAACCGTTGGTGGTTATAAAAAGAAATCAGATCAGTATGGCTACTATTTAACTCTATCACAACCTTGGAAAGGGTAAGGATAGTAATGATGATCATGGTGATCATGAGGATGATGACGATGATGATGATAATGATGACAACGATGATCATGAAAATGATGAGAGTGACGATGATGATGATGATGATAGTAATGATGATAATGATGACGATGATAATGATGATGGTGATGATGATAATGATGATAATGATAATGATAATGATGACGATGATGATGATGCTAACTAATCTGTTTAACGTTTCTTACTAAACAGTATTTATCTATTCATCTTGCCAGTAATTATAACTTACTAAATTCTATCGCTCCTAATAGGCTGTAACAATTTTGCTTCAAACTCTACTTGCACCGAAGATATATAGAACAGCTAAAGATGGCTTCCTTCAAGCTCTGTATAACAAAGAAACACCAGCTGATGTACGAGCGTCATCTGAAGTATGAGAGCCTTTGGTCCCCTTTCACAAAAACATGCAATGGATAATGGTCTTCCTGACAGTTTTGTAACTGCTCGTCAATGGGCTAGGAAGAAAATCGTTATAAAGTAAAATCTTCAGCTGCGATAGTTTTTTCTTGAAACAAAGTCTTTTTTCTATAGTCTACGAAGAGATTATCTCTTTACTGTCAGAGAATATTTTGCAATTGTATGTTATGAACATTAAAACGTTTCCCTCACGCTGACTTACTAAACGCTATCTGTGTTACGTTCATGTTATTTATGGTTCACTTGATAATAAAGTTTGAACGAAATACCATCACATTTATGTAGCTGGTGTGGAATTTACTGTGTAAAGCTGACAAAAGTCTAGAGGGAAGTTGACCTAGAGTGAAAAACGCTTAAGCGCGTGTAATGCCCACTTGAGAGGGAACAGTTTTGGAAACCGGCTTTTTTTTAGAGGGTGACTCTATTTCGCGGGATGATGGACTTTCAGGATAATATCCATATGCGTTGAACTATGAAGTCGAGATGTAATGAAACATTTGTTTCTGCTATGTTTGGTTTAGGCGTCTTTTGATATCGCGAAAACAATTGTTCATGAACTACGCTTTCGGGTATGAGAACTTTTACGTGTATTTTCAGCTTTTGTATTTCATATTTAATGAGGTTGTCGCACCATCGCCAACACCCCGGTCTCCAACACCAAGTACATTACTGGACAAAAAATGATTCCCAAAGGAACCAAACTTGTTTTCGTCTAAATACCATGGCTTTTGTTGTTGCTTTCTTCAACCAATCAGGACAAAAAAAAATTCGTACCATATGAGTAGTCAGAGTTTAATTATTCAATTTTCATCTCGGCAGCGCCGTTAACTTGTTTAGACTAAGAATGTATCTGGTGATGTTTCGGAAGTTGAAAAAGCAGTTTTTATGTCCTTTTAATGTTTTACACGAACAGAAAGAAAGGTCCAAGCTATTACAGCACAAATGAAAAACTTGAGAGGTTCACCAGCAGTGCGAAAGTCGTTCCAAAATCTTGGCAAATCATGATATATGGATCAGAGATTCTTTGCTACTCGTGCAATTTTATTCCTGACGACAAGTTCAACCATCCCGCACAACGACTATATCGTAGTGCTAGAAAGGTAATAACAATTGAATTTCATTCATTTAGAGTTTATTCCACATATCGTTGAACTTTTGCGTTTGTATACGGAGCCATTTATTATACTACAGACATTCACAACACAAGATATTGTTTGAAATCACTTGACAATATGTACTTTGAGAGATGTTAAAATAATCATTACCCAGTGACACTTAAACTCACATTTGCCACCATTTTTGCACGCATTTTGTAGTTTATATGCATTCGATTCGTGGAAAATAAAAAACTTGGTAATTAGTAAGAGCAAACTTTTATATATTTCTCGTAACTTTTGAATCTTCACTCTGTCGTTAGAGAAATGTCACTGATGAAGGACCAACATCGTCATGTAGAGTCTTTCCCTCCCTGTACAAGTTGCTTTGGTTCCCGTTGGCATGAACTGATCTATGACAGCACGATGAGTGGACCATGCACAACATAAACACGGCAATAAACCGAGAGGTTCTTGGTATCGTATAATTTGCATTGTTCTTCGTTGAAGAAAGGTCAGGCATTAAATTGTATCATAGTAAAGGAGACTGCTTAGGAAAGCCGGCAAACATCAAAGTTGAAAACAACGGTGCTGAAGGTTATGTTGGAAGCTCCCTGACCGTGCACAGTCCTTTGGTTTCGTTCAAAACTTGTGACTGACTAAGTTAATGCAATGTTTCTATTGGACAGTTAGCTCAAAACGATAGGAATGCAATTGAACGTTGTGCACGGTCAGGTCCAAAAAAGCTGACTTCCCAACCATTCCACTTTAATTCACTATGATTGTATGAAATGCGTTAAGATTGTGCCCTGCCTACAACAAATTTTGAGCCGTTTAAATGGGTCAGATTGTTATAATGTCAAACTTTGGCATAATAAAATAGCTAGGTTGCAACAACAACAATTGAATAGGTGCCTGCTCTCGAATTGTCCACCAAACTTACTTTGGCGAAAACTGCGAAGAAAGAATTCTCGGCTATGAAGAGATCAAAAAAAGTCAAAATATGAAAGGTGTGTGTGGTAAAGACACCAATAATAAACTTCAACCACAGCCAACAGAAAACAAAATCACAGTCCTTGATTTCCCTATTTCGAATAC